ATTCTTATTAATGATTTCCTCTATAAAAACTTGATATAGATTTAGAATAGATTTCTTTAAAATGGATTTTCTAATAAATAGATTTAGCTTAGGGTTAGATATAGTATTAATTGAGGTTAGTATATAATCGGGGATAATAATTATAGCGGAATTAGTCAAATAATAATATTTAGAATAATATATAAAAATGAACTTTAAAGTTATTATTATTTAGTTAATAAAAGAATTGTAACACTAAAGCCATAGGAGCTCAAGAATTATAAGATCCTTTTCCAAGAGATTTGTAATATAAAATAAATCTATCTTTTGATAATTATTGATTTATATATCCAATAGAATATAATAAAATAAAATATCAGAGAGTTTTCTATTAACCAAAAATAAATAACAAATATAAAGGAAAAAGTATATTGGTATATAAAGCTTAAAAACAACTTTTCAATTAATAAAATCATAATTCGCAGCTCTATTATCAATAAGATTAATAAGCAAGATAATTATATTAGATATTAAAGAGATTTTCATTGAGATTTTAAGAAATTTATTATTTATTGATTTAAAATACAAAGGATTCTTAAATATAATTAATCTTTTAATCCATAAAGATAAAGCTCTTATAAAAAACCTCAATTTGTAATTATAAATTAAGATTAATCTTTTAATATATTTAATAAAGGAATTGAATCTTTACTTTTCTTTAAATAAATAGAATCTTCAATATATTCTTTTAAATCAAGCTTTTAAACAAAGCCGAATAGAATTAGAGAAATATAATATAATAATATAATTGGAAAACAATTGGCAGTCTAGAAAGGGGTTTAATATAAAATACTAATGGCTAGGGATTGATTAATAGGTATAAACAAATTCTGATATAGGGAATTAGCAATATTAATATTTCAATAGAATCCAAAACTTTAATATTAATTGATTATAGGGAAATAATTAATATAAGGAATATATCTTATATTAATATTAGTATTATACTTTACATTATTGATATATTTCTTTTTGTAATTGTTTTTAAAATAATCAGATTTTTTACAATAGAAATAGAGGCCAAGACCAATATATTACTCTTGAATATAATAAGATTAAAAACACTAGCTTTGACAAATAATATTTAGTTATATAGAATTATTAGAAAAATTAGATATAGAGGGAGTAGTAATAGTAATCTACTTTTTATTATAAGATTTTAATTAATTGCAGTTGAAATTCAATTGATTATAATTAAAATTAATATCTTAATTCTTTTATTGATTATTAAAATAAGTTTTTTCCTTTAAATTATTATAAATACCCTATTACTAGATTATTTATATATCAATATTAATAATAAAGGATTTGCTAGAGTAATTAATCGAAGTATTAATTAGTTTTTGAAAAACTTTAAATTTGAAATCAGTGATTTATTACTTTATGGTTTTTTTATATTTAATAATAAACTATTTAAATTTAATAATAAAATTATTAAATAAAATCTTTTTAATTTTATATTTATTATAATTTATAGTAATTTATAAAAGAAATTAAGAATTTAATATTATTTATTTAATTTACATTAAATATCTATTATAATATACTATTTGAAAAACTAGAAATTGAAATTATATGAATTATTAGTAATTATATTGAAATATATCTGATTATTTATATAAATAGAGCTAAGAAATAAGTTAACAAGAAATATAATTTTTTGGAATTCCAATTTGTTTTTGTAATTTATAATTAAATAACAATTAATTATATTATAAAATATTATATATTAATTTTGATATTTTATAATATCTTATTTATTATTATTAAATTTCTTGAAAATAATAAAGTATTTTTGGTAAAGTAGAACTTATAGGTTATTATAAATAATAATCTTTAATATCTCAATTATATTTTTTAATTTAATAATTTTAAATTAAGTACTAGTAATTTGAACTTGTATATTAATAGCTTAAACTTATAATAAATTTATAATTAATTTAATCAATTCGAATATAGTTTAAGCAATTATAAAGTGTGTAATATTCAAATTATTAAACAAATCTATAAATAAGAAAATATCAATTTCAATGAAATTAAGAATATAATTTAAGAAATAAAATTGTGGGAATAGATTAGGTATAAATATTGAATTAGTTATTTTCAAATACTTTTATGGTTGTAAAACAATTTTGCAAAATTTCTGAATAATAGTGGTTAGGGTATATAGCAAATTAATAATAAATATAATTAATATAATCAAAATAAACTTTAATGAAATTCAATTAAAATAAAGTTATAATAATTTTTATATAGATAATATAAATTATTAAGGTATAGATAAAGATTTATATTATATTATAAGAATAAAAGGATTATAGAAGGAAAGAATTCTATTTATAAGAAGTAAGATATATTAGTTGTAAGAGTCTTAGATATGAAGGCAATTAACGAATAGATAGTTGGCGCCGTGACAAATTATCAAATTAATTTTATATAAAACTTTTATTGAAAAAAATTAAGTTTTATATTAATATTTAAGTAAATCTTATTCTCTAAGTAATATTTGTAAGGTTTATATAATAAGTAGTTCAAACAATTAGAATAGATCTCTAATTTCAATTCTCAATAATTGAGATGCTATAAGAAACTATAAAAATAATATTAGCTATTCGTTTTAATAATAGATCTTTATTCTTTTTATATAAATATATATTAAAATATATAATTCTACAAAATATAATATAATATATAAGATAAATTATTATTATAAAAAGAAACACTAGATTATTATAATGAATATTAAAAAAAGTTATAGGAATTAATAATATTAATCTTATTATAATATAAGAAGGTTTCTAAGGGTATAAAAACTGATTTTTTTTAAACTCGTTTTTACTTGTTTTTACTTGTTTTTACTTGTTTTTACTTGTTTTTATTTATTTTTATTTGTTTATTTTTACAAATTGAAAATGTTAAATATAAGTAAAAGTATTATTACAAGAATATTAATAAAATTGAAATAGATATTAGAATATAGATATAAAATGATAATAATTTTAAATATATTTAAAAGTATTAGATACTTCTTCAAATAACAGTTTTATATTATTTATATTATCAATTCATTCAAATATTATCAAACAAAGTTATATTCAATATATTATAATTTCCTGTTGCTTTAATAAAATATAATGGAATTCTATTTCAAATTCTAATTCAAAGAAATCAATTTAAATAATAAAGTTCTTTGATTTATATAATTATTATTAATAAATTATTTATTACTTTAATATTGAGTATAATAATATCTAAATATAGGAAAAAAACAATAATAGATTTCAAAACGATTTTTAATATAATAAAAGGATATCTAACTTAGCATTTCAAAAATAATTATAATTCTAATATATTTATATACTTCTGGATTTATATATAAAATCAATTGAAGTATATATAAAAGCAAAACAATTCCTATAATTGAAAAGTATTATTATTTATTTTTTGATAATATATTCGAAATAATACTTTAAATAAATTCTCTAATTTAAATAACTTTGAGAATTTATAACTTATAAATATTATTTATATTATTATTATATAGAATAGATAAAGTAATAAAAAGAGATTTGTAATACTAAAAAAAAGAAAATATTAAAATCAAGATTTTATAAGCTTCTCAAAAAATAAATTTTATATTAAAAAAAATCGGATTTTATTGAATTTAATATTCTATAAAAATATTTAAATAGAATAAAGATTTAATATCTAATTTCAAAAATCAATAATATCAAAATATTCAGAGAAATATTATATATTCTATTGAAATAGAGTTATTGCCTCTTTTTGATATTGAGAATATAAATATTTAAGAATTAAATATAATATTAAACCTAATAAAAGTAATATCAATCTTATTAAGAACTTTACTATTACAACCCCAATCTATTCACAATCTCAAAAAAAGCAATCTGAAAACCAAGGATCTATTAAATATTGAGAAACAAGATAATATTGATGAATAAGAAAGTATTAATAAATAAAAGAATATTAATAAACAAAATAATATTAATAAATAAAATAATATTAATAAACAAAAAAGTATTAATAAATAAAAGAATATTAATAAAAAGCCTCTTAAAAATAAAAGGAAATATATACAAAAGAAATATAATAATTTACACTTGAAAAGAGTAGATAGAGATTAGAGAATAATATACTCTTATTACTATAATATAATAGAAGAGAATTATAATATATTAAAGCTTTTTTTATCTAAAACACTTAATTGAAATAATTAAAGCAGAAATTCGATTCAAAAGAATAAGAAGATTCAAAAGAATACTCTAACAATCATAAATATCAAATAAAAAAGGAGTGATTGTATTAGAATATGGAAAAAAAATCAAATAGATATATAATCTAGAAATTTAATAATAAAGATATTACAATTTCAAAAATAAAAAGGAATAAGAAGAAATAGGGATAAACTGATTGTAGAACTTATAGTATTATTTTTACATATTTTTTATTTATAATCTTATAATTCATATAAAGTTTTAATTTATATACTCTCAAATTTTTATATAAATATATATATAGTTCAAAATGTAACAATCGATCTATATATGAATATATATTTTAAATATAATAAAAAATAATGATATTTGAATTTGAATATAAAAAGGAATAATAAATTTCATTAAAAACGATAAAATACCTTAAAAATAAAAAATTTTCGTTATATATAACAATTAGATTAATTATATTAATACTTTAAAAACAATTTATTTAATATATAATAAAAGTATTATAGAATTTATGGCAATTACGAAAGGATCACTTCGTCAACCACGGATTCTGTCACCACAGGGATTGCTTCATTGTATTTCTTGTTCTTTCCTTCTTTACTTACAACGATTGTGGGCTTCAATTCTTCTTTGAACACGCAAGGCTCTTTGTCTTGCACGAGGCAGAGAACACATCACATATCTAGTTATCGATATTAGCTAGCTCGCAGAATGCAGAATTCAGTTGGGCCTGACAACCGCTTGAAGGTTGAGTTGAGAGAGCCTCTCTTAGACACAACAGGTTTCAAGCAACTTCGTGTCAGCAATGTTGAAGGGGATACCCTCGATATATCATTTCGACGCACTATTCTTGATCCAGAAAGCGGCAATCGGTTGAAAGTGCCTCCAGATTTCGGGCCTCTTCCAATCTACCCAGTAGATAGTTACAAGGATAAATTCGATCGATCTATATCTACAAAAGATGGATTATTTATTCCAGTTTATCGTGAGTCTGTTATTCTCCTGGTAATTGATTAGATATAATACATCAAGTTGAAAAATACTGACCTGAACTAAAAGAGCGTGAGGCAATGTGGATTAATTTCGAGTCAAATGGATTTTTCGCGGTTAAGGTCATTGTCGATGGTGTGAATGCTGTTTCTGGAGAATTAAGCACAGAATCCTTATCAAAGGATCTCAGACGCATAGCGCTACTTTACAAAAAGAGTTCAATCCAAGAATACATTCTAGCTGGGACTCTTGGGTCAAAGATGTTTGGACGGTGTTAAGATAAAGGGAGACAAGATCATGCAGTTTGTTGCGGCCCCAACCCCGAATTAGACCGTCACACCGTCAATCAAATCGTCGATCAAAGCGACTGACGGTATTCGTGGAATAAGGTTTGAGATTGTACCACTAGAGCTGGACTCGATAAAACGCATCCAAATCACTGTGCAGACGCTCTCAGGAAAAGTCATTCATATAAATGTCTCTCTCGAAACTGTCGTGAACACTCTCATCCACAAGATTCATGGAATTACTGGCATTCCCTGTGATGAACAACGAATTGTCTTTGCAGGTCATCAGCTTCAACGTCGTAAGTCAATTCGGCACGTTGTATGATCAATTGCTGACTCGTTACAAGATCATTATTCAACATCTTATGGCGTCGTGGCGGTAAGTTATGATTACATATATCTTTGATGTAAAAAATTTCAATGCATTGGGTTGGACTGATTTTCTCTATAGGGCTCACAACCTTTTCTGACCTTTAGTTCAGCTGGCGGGCCAAAATCTCACGCTGCTCAAAAATATATGCCCCAGATAGCAGCATAGAAACGATTGCTGGAGTATCATACGGCGATAAAAGAGAGCTATGGTGAGAAAAGAGATGTAATGTTTGCAGATGCCAATACAAATATTGTGCAAGATATAGAAGTCGATGACTTTCACGCAGATGACTAGGATATAGAGAACACTTTGATCATTAACCTACAGATGATAAATGCACCGGCCTCTGAGATCGTACTAGGTATGAAGCCTCCATCGTGTCCTATTTCAACGGCAGTACGCAAAGAGTATCACTGCCCACTTCTTAGCGTTCACAATGATGACGAGGAGAAGAACAAAGATAGCCGAGATAAAGATGAAGATGAGAAAGGTCGTGAAGTCTTCAAGGTCACAACTGATCAGTCGGGAACAAGCGATAGTTTTGCTCCGGTCGGGGAAATGAAAGAAAGATTGAGAGAGATTTCCAAGTTGCCAGATGACGCTATTTGAGTTGAAAGCAATCAACTTCAAATGGATAATATTTATCGGGGATTATATAACGCTGAATTGATAAACACTAGGGAATAGATAGCTTGACTATAATATAATACCTAGCTTAAAACAATTTTTTTTCTCTAAATTGGCTAGAATCAATAGTAGTCTATATACATCTGAGAGTAAATATCAATGTTTACTGGAAAGAGAAACGCTACTTTAGACTTTCCGGAATAACAAGCTATTCACTTGACTGAAACTACGGACGTTTTCTTTGTGATTTCTGTTCCTTTTTCGAAGATATCCAGCCAGGAGTAATGTTACTTTAACAAGAAAGTCTTTACCCATGGAAGGTATTCAGAGAAATGTATATTTGTGTAACTACTCGTGATATCGTTTCACTATCGCTGCACCGTGAATATATAAGCCTTCTAGAGGCTGGCTCTGACTCTCCGAGGGAGTTTCGAGGTGCTTTGGGATGTTACTCTCAAGAATTTAATTCGTGCTTTTGTGTTTTCTTCTTGAGTGTGAGTGAGTGGGCATCGAAAATTAAATGGCTTTCAGGCACATGCTAAACGGGATAGCAGCGATAAATTGCACCACTGCGAGATAGATATTTCTATCTGTCACAGAACTATGTTTTTGAATATCGCACAATCTGGTCTCAATTGTTTCAAGAACTTGAGGAATTGTTGATCTACTTTTTGATTCTTTGTGCTACGGTTTGTGTGAAGAATGAATGTAAGTCTTACATCTTGGCTTAAATCCTCACAGGTCTCACAAGCAGAGGCCGCAATTACTTACCGATATGTCACATCTAAACATTTGGAAAATGAAATGGTCAAGTCGTGCTTCAACCGCAAAAGATAGGCCGTTGATCACTTCGAGGACTTGCCCCCAAGTACATTTGTTACTAACAAAGCCACAAGACCACGTCAGACTGCAGGATCAAAGGCATGAATGGAGATAAGAACTATTCCATGCAAGCTTAGAGGAATTCAGGGACCCAGAGGAATTAAAAATGTATGAAATTATCGTTGTCCCATGATTGAAATATAGGAGAATAAAGAGAGATTTTTTCCGCTACGATTTAGTTTATGTAATCCACTCCAAATTGGTGGCAAACAAGCTATGATACAACTGGGGGAAATTCAAGGTCGGAAATGATCTTCAGCCCAACTGCGGATTTGATGGAAGTTCCGACAAGTGTGAGGTTCTTTCCAATCGGCCACCACTCTACCAGCGTCATCTGACCAACTGAAAACCATAGGAGTGAGATCCCCATGGCACTGCACAGTCTGTCTGAGATAGTCGACACAGTGGTCTATAGTTGCAATTAGCGACGCTATTCTATACAAGTCATGTTGCATTACTCACCAACGTGCATCCTATGGATCCTATGGCTTTCCTTCCTTGGATAATAATCCGGATCTAAAGCCATCCTCACTTTATTCTAGATCTTTGTTAGCTGTCTTTCTGGGCATGCTCAAGGCACTTCAAGTTGCCCACGTCAAAACTCACCACACAATGGAGGGTATGCATCACATCTAGACTTTTTAACTCATCAGCTACCAGTAGATATGAAGTGTAGGAGTTCAGTAGACTTACGCAACTTCGTAGTTGCCATGATCATCTTTCCATGTCCGGTCGGTCATACTCGAGGCTTCGTCTCCAACAAGGTTCATATATTGACCTACAATTACTTAGTTACATGTGGCAATCGCTACATCTACTTACTTACCTTTGAGCAGTTGATTCCATGCTGCATCTATCTCTGGTGAGGGATTCCCAACATACTGAGGCTCCCCTTCGATCGTCTCCCGGTATAGCGTCCCATTCTTATGGTAGTGAAGACCGCCAGTGAAACGAACAGTCTGTTCAGAAATTACACTCTTAATTGGATCTATGGAATGTCGTATGGTTAGCTAGTGGACTAGATTCTAATTGAATAAAGATAAATACCTAACTCGGTAGTGAAGCCTTTGAGAAAACCATCGTTGATTTGGGCTTTGGAAAGACGACCATGTAGCACAAACAAGGCGACGACAAGGACTGGACAGAGGATAAACAGAGATAAGGAAAAGAAGTAGAACGACCTAGAAACCGATACTTTTGAAGAATGGCTAGTTGTCACTGTAGCTCGATCTTCGGTGTCGGAGCCGTCTTCAACAGAGACATACTTCGTTTTCTTGTCGGCCAAAAAGAGCTTTATGAATGTCATATTTGCAACAGAAGATTTGAACAGAAGTTCACTGATGAATAGCTGGTGTATAGGTGGTAGATTCTGATGTTGGGGATACAAATTTCTCGGTGCAAACTAGAGAATCTTTGCAAAGAAATGCCGTTATGGTGCAATAGATGAAAAGCCCAACAAAGACCAATGATTATCTCGAGATGGGTTCTAGGAAGCGCATTTTCCGCATAATCTCACTGGACTCTTAGAGCAAGTTATGAAGCAACGTTGTATCTTTCTTCATGGAAAGTCAAAATACGAGATCACTTCTGATAAGCAAAGGAGGTTGATGAATTCGAGAACTGTGGAACGACTTTGGCTTCGATGTTCATGATACCTGTTCTATATGCTCCACTGTGGGGGGTATAGCGCTTAAGTATCTGACAAGCCTAGCGGGGTAACATCTCAGGGGGTAACATTTGAGGACCGTTAGCTTAACGCCACTGAACTGAAAGTTGTGAGGGGTACCTATACGAGTATACGAGTACATAAACTTTGTTGATTAACTATCTGATTGGACTGAGCGGACGGTACTAGGGTATAACTCTTGTGAAACACCGGTTGAACTCATTACCATCACCGCTGTTCTGAAGCTAAAGTTGAGGAAAATATATATTTTAGAGAACGAGAATATAATTATGCTTTACCACGCTTTTTGAGCGAAATAAAATAAAACGTTATAATCAAAAATGAGTTATAATAACTGATTGAATCATTAGCATGAACTGAAAAGAAATATAGATTGTTTTCATAAATAATCTTTTGTTTAGTATCGTATTGATTGAATTAGGTGATATTATCTTATAGGCAAAACAATCTGTCTGAGTATAAGGTTGAAGGTGGTCTTATAAACCAGTTAGTATGTTGATATGTTATAACTGGGAATAATATAGGCTTTATAGCTCATAAATGTTGGGTATGAAGCCTATTTAAATGTTCTCTTATAATTCAAAAGTAATTCTTAGGGTTAACGTGATTCATATACGAGTGGATCATATCACCGAATGGATTACTTCATTTTATATACAAAATTTGTCTATATATAACCATATACTTTCTTTATTTATTAATATAATTTTTCAGAAATTAAATGTATAGTATTTAATTATATAAATAATATAAAAATCTAATTTTCATTTCAAAATTCTAATTAATATAAAAGTTAATTAAAAAAGAAGGTTTTTGTCACGTGAATGGTTACACACACATAGAAGTTGTAAGCTTTACCACTACGCCACGCACGCAATCTGTCCAAAAGGCACAGTATCAGGGATCGATATCCTGACAGCTTACTATTATATATATATCTGTAACAGTTTTTGTAATACAAAGTATAACAATTTTGAATTATAATCAAAATATTTATAAAGAAATTAGAAATTATAGATATTTTATTTTTATTATTATTCTACGTTCTTTTATTTTTCAAAAATAATAACTAATTATTAAAATAGGAATATTATAAATGACTAATTTTGGTGCATTTTCAAGTGATCCATTCGATGATATGATCCACTCGCATATGAATCACGTTAGAGGAAAACACGTTTATTAATTCAGTATGACTAATAACCAAATATTTCATTTAATTCAGTTAATACGATATATTGTCATATCATATATCTCCTAACTCTCCCTCAAATTTTTTTTATCTCATTTACCTATAAATGCTTGCTTGACTTTCACAGGATTTTGTTTTTCTGTTAGTTTTGTGCACTAGTATATTAATATATACTCTTATACTTCTCTAATCCCTTCAAAGTATCTATTTTTGATAATTGACGTTGAGTAATTGTGTGGGCGCATGGATGTAGTCACCTGATCGCATACAGTAGCTTAGTTGGGTTGGATGATGGATTACCTAGAGCCTCATCGATGACTACAATTGCTTTGCTATCAATTGCTCCACTTTCACGTCCTCACAAATCGAATTTTTGCTGAAACAAAAAAAATCTAAGGTCTCAATGTTTAGGCTTTTTCCCATATACATATAGACCCAGCACTCATCAAAGACAAGCTTTTGAAAGCCCAGATATTATGATACGTGATGTTCAACTCTAACGGAGGGTTTCGAACAGTCCATCCCTACCGGGGTATCTTTAGGCTTACAGATAGTTCGAGTGCCTTCAAAAACAAATGTTAATTGATAATTTCTATCATCAATCGAGAATATAAACAAGGATATTTAATTTAGAAATCACAAGGATTTGGTTCACACTAAGATATATTAAGGCTCGTGGATATCTCGGATATTCCAAAGAATAAAGCTTATTTGATGGGCCCCGCTGTCAATAAAAAGTGTGTAGTAAACCAGACGGGTCTTTAAGCTTAAAATCACATAGATTTGATACATTATGATATCATGATATTGTAAGGCTTGCCAGTATTTCGGATCTCCTAAAGAACAAAAGTAATTCGATGTCTTTCACGATCGATGTAAACTGCTTGGCAAGTGGACAAGACGTGTCTCGAGTCATAACAGGAAGGTATAGTCAGAAGTGTTCTCAATCTCATACTCTGAAAGTCGCTTTGCTGTTTGATCGCTGTAAACCATTTCTAAATATTTCCAATCGCTACATTTGCATTCATATCTACTGCCCAGAAAACCAAAACGCTCCCACCTAGGAGTATCACAAGCTTGTCAAGACTTCCATCGAGCCCGTCAACAACATGGCTTTTCAAGATACAGATGAAAGTAAACTTCCCATGCTCAACGAAGACGAAGATGAAAATTCGATTTCTTTTGCTTCTTCACCGCCAACGCAAAGCCGTCATAGGACCTGTTCTATGCTCCTAATCGGCCTCGTCTCGAGCATTCTACTTGCACTCTCAGTCATTTGGGCTTTCCAGTCTATCGTACTGCCTACCCATACCAACCCCCAACGAATCCTCAAAAGTCCCTGCGGAAACTCATCCAGTGAAGCGCTCGCCCGAGGATGTCACTTCGACGTTCTTTCTTTCTGCTGGGTCCCAGATGAGTGCTTTGATCGAGACCTGACAGAAAAGTTCCGCAAAGCCGGGCCGTGGATATTCTACACCGATCAGAACAAAACTTCATCAGTCACTGAAGAACAATTCGGATCCGACACGCAACCCGTTTACCTCACCAATAAACTTCATAAGACTCATTGCGCCTACAACATTCTCAGATTCCACAAAGCACTGACTGAAGGTCGAATGGTCCACAAAGAAGATGTCTTGACTCACACGGAACACTGTTCACAAGTTCTGACGAGAATAAATGACCCGGATGATATTGAAGTTAGGGCAAAAATTCAATATCCTGATTGCGGTTACTTCTCGAAGGACTTTCCAGGGAAGGCAAAGGAAGGTGTACATAACCACCATCATGGACACTCAAACATGGTATAGTGCTCCATGATTTCTTAGATAGCTTCATGGGATACCTCTAAATGTAGTTGTTTAAAAAGCACTTGCTGTCAGCACGTTGTAAATGATTTTTTTGGACTGCTCTTTGCCACAAATTTGGATTCTTGTTGTGCCAAGTTCTCTAGGAGATGAATGGAGATGATTTAAATATTTATCATGAAGCATGGAAGAATTTAAATAGCCATTCTTTCCAAGAATCTATGGAATTCAATCTCGTTGTTACACTATGTTCTTTCCATGCAACCGTCTATTAGTTCTTGCTTTGTATTCAATATGTCATGTTCTAGGTAAGTCTTCACATGTATCCTCTGTGTTTGCATCAAGAACTAGCAAATTGTCTACTCAATTGAAAATCTAACTTCCATTTCTTCAAATACAACTACAAGCAATTATTACCTTAATCGGTTACCTTCCAACTTTTTGGCAAGATTCTCTCTGGTTCCTTGGACCACGCTAGCAAGGCATCAAAATCGTTACAAACGTGCATGACTCCATGATCAGCCACGCGATGGGGGTCGCCTTCAATGTGTCCTTCAGCGGTAGAGTCAGCGAAGCACATCAAAGCCTGCCGGATGTAGTTAAAACAATGTGCCTTGTGCTCTTCCCATGTTAAAGTTACACCACTGTGGTAGCCTGGCAGTTGTTCTTTGGGGATTCCGGCAGCCAGAAGACCAAAGTCCTCAAGTATAGATGTCTATCACAGGGGTTAGGAGCGTGAATTGAAGTGTCAGGAACGGGAAAATGGCTTACCAGACAATGCATTTGATGGAATGCGGCAATTTCGAACAGATCTCCTGCAAACATTTTTTGAGGTCCGCTGCCATCATATGGCTTGGCTCGTACAAACGCTAAGGATCTTTCAATCAGACATGTTCGAAACGTGGGATAATTTATAAGAGGCTCTTTTACCATGAGAAAGACCTTGCCATGAGCTTAGAGTTTGATTGAACAGACCGCGGTCATGAAATGCATCGGCATCTATCTGGTACTGATCTGGACCAGAGGGCTTGGGGATACCCCTTGAGCTGACATCTGGCCCTGAGGTCAGTGGCTTTCGAGCGATCAGGATGGTTGACTGGCGTGGGAGACTTACCATGAGGTACGAAATGATTGTAATCACTTCCTGCCGGCCAAACCTGATTATCACAGGTGCCAGCTTTGCTTGTGTCATTCCTCAAGATAAGAGCAGTCGTACCAAGAAGGCAGACAATGAGAATAGCCTCAAGACAACAACGAAATATCTGTATGCGAGAGAAGAAAATTTCACGATTAGAAGTGCGTTTGATTCTGCTAGCGAATGTTGTATCTTCTGCATCATCGTCTGACGACGAGGTGCGTCCAAGTAGCTTGTTTTCTTCCATTGGAGTAAATGAAGCGGTACTGATAGTGCTTTTGAAAAACGTCGAAAGTAGAAGAGAAGAGGTGTCAATGGTATGATGTGGAGTTCTCTTGAGAGCGTCGATAGGTATTACAGGCCCGCTTGTTTTCATACATGGCCCAGCAAATTGGCAGCAATAAGGAACTCTATCTATTCTGGCCGCGTAAGCTTCCTTAGCGAACCTAGAAGGCTATTCTACCAATTAACGGGAGTGGAGCACACCATGCCTTGTCTTTCCATTATTGAGATCCGATTTTCTGGCTGCTAGCCCACTTGTCCACATGAGAATAACTCCCTTTCTGTTTGACAGCTCTGGAATGCTTGAATTACTCGGGGAAAGTAGCAGCGAGGTTCAATTGGATGAAGTCTTGAGAGTCAACAAAAGCTGACCAGATCGGGCTGGGTAGAGGGTCTGCATACTACAGTAGATCACACTATTTTCCCCCCATAAAAAAGGTTTATTTTTAAGTTTTCCCAATCATGCAAAAGTGGGACATCGGTTCAACGACAGGGATAGCATGCTTTTTAATCGAATCAAGCCGTATATCGACCCACTTTATTAATTTAACAAGTAAGCATAACCATCGGCCCAAGCCTTCGGTCACCGAGTACGAAGTACTTTGATTTGAGTTTTCGTTGACTAAAGATACTCATTACTAATCATGGGCCTTCGTTTACGCTCAGTACGAAAGGAGAAGGCCAGTGATTACAAAGTATCCGGAAAAGCAAAGCGTAAAAAATGCCTCGTGAATGTGGTAACGGCCTTCTCTGTGGATTCAAGTGGGAGGATTAAACTTCTCGACGTGTCCAGATATTCAATCCCACCTTTTTCCCGCCCAGAGCGGGGAGCCCAGCATGTAGCGTGCGCGTATCCCCAGTCCCATTAGAGTGGAGATTTCTCCAAAACACAGCACTGCCCGCAACCCCACGTACTGTTAACTCGTTCGTAGCCTTGCAATCAACAATACTGCACCATCTCTGATCCTCCACGCTCCAGTCTACCGAAATCTTAGGAAAACGAGTCCCGCAGTTGGAGCATTCCACATCAAGCACGGCGAAAAAAGTGGTCTCCCTGTTCGTTGTTTGATTTCTCGCGGCAGGGTTGATTGCCCAGTCGTAGTGATTCGTATACTGCTGGCCTTCTAGATATCGTGTGACCTGCAGGCTCTCCATCATTTCAAGGTCAACGTAACCCTGAAACTCTGAAGCTCTGGACCTAATGCATTGAACGATAGGATCGTCCGAAGGCAGATATGCAGTGGAACTCGTTCGCTCATGTGTAGCTACTACCCGCCCATCAGTTTCTATGGCACGAGAGGGGCGAAACCTAGACTGTCTGCATGACTCGTTAGCACCGGTACCTGGATCTGCCATCGAAACCATGACTTACGCGATCTGGACCAGGTGAGCAGTCTCTCGAGGAGTGATAAAGTTCTCGATATGTTGGATAAGTGGATCATATGATAAGGTGCGGACTATATATTGCGGTTGCGAACAGGAGTTTCCGGCCAAGAAGCCAGGTACCGTTATGGATGGTGAAACAACTGAAAATACTGCAGCAAGTAGAGCCACGATAGAAGAAATGTAGAAAATCTGCTTGAGAAACATTTTGTATAAACAGTAGTGTACTAATATAAAAAGGTCTTGAGAAAGTCCCGAATAGGAATCACAAAGATTTGAAACACCTCTGTGACAGGGTAATAGGGTGATAGAACAGATATTTGACCCGCCTTATATCCTCGATGGTAACATAATGGCACAAGATAAGACATGCCAACTTTAGCATACGCCAAGGAGACTTAATAACGTTGACTTTGTGCCAGCAGCTGGAGAAATAGTTATACCAAGAGGTGGAAGTGGCGCAACACTATTCTGTGGGCCGATCCGCCGAGCCCTGTTTCCCAGCAATATGGCACTATCATGGGTATGATCATCAATTCATAGTATGAAGAGGTGATCAGTCTTTTGGGACCCCTTGCATATCAGAAGGGGTGTACAGTTTTTCCTCTTAAGGTAATATCGCCGGAACACCTTGATATCTTTTAGTGTGGTATGAGGGTGATATGATCTATGCGGCAGTAACCATCATAGAGCAAAACTCCATATATTCATGCCTCGAGTAGTACAAAAGCTACTCGGGGTCTAGTACATATTCATTCAGACTACTTCATTCTATCTTTATGAATATTATTATTAGATTTAATATAAAATAATTACATGCTAGCCTCAAAGTCATGAAGAAAAATTATTATATTTCCAATTTTTTTGAGATTTATTCAAGATAAAAATTAAAACGTTTACATGTTAGTTTTTATTTCCTTTTATATAGATTTAGAATTTGTCATGCATGTTACCTCGGTCTTTTTCGTCTCTTTTCAGTCTTTTCTAAGGGGCTTTTAAAAAGTATAGTATTTCGAAATTCTTATTTCAATAAGTTTCCATCTAGAAAAGAAAAAGAGACTAAAGTAGTAGATACTGAAGTATCAAAAATGTTATTTGAAGCCACGCTAGTCATAAACTTTAACTTTTGAGGTACTAATACATAGAATGTTACTATATGAGGTTATTACTGTAATTTGTATCAAAAGTAGACCAGTGCTAGCAACGGTTGTACCTGGCACAGGAACGATACAGTATTGCCCTTTTAGCTCTGAACTCAGCTATATTAAGATGGCAGTTCTAGCAGCGGTCCCTTTACTAGTTCAGCGTAACTATGGTTGTTGAAACTTTGTATTTGTTCACGAAAAGTAATTGTCTTCGGCCGCGCGATGCAGTCAACAAAGTAGACTCTGCATGATAAGCTCACCTCGTTGAAAAGTCTAAGAAACAACAATATTTAAACCTGCTTCTTCCCACTCTCTCTGAATCCTCATCAGACTCACACAACTGACAAGTCAAACATTATCAAACTCCTTACGTTTTCATCTTTCAACTTAACATCAAGTTACTTAAAGCAATCATGCATATGCTCAAGATCACCGCAATTTTGGCGTTCGCTGCCAGCTTCGCTGCCGCTGCCCCTAGTTCAAGGCTCAACGGGGTTGCAAAGCGCCAAACTACCGAGTTCGGCCCATACCCTGAGGACGACTATAATACAAAACGCCAGACAACCGAGTTTGGTCCTTATCCTGAGGATGATTACAATACTAAACGCCAAACTACCGAGTTTGGTCCATACCCAGAAGATGATTACAATACCAAGCGTCAAACCACTGAATTTGGCCCTTACCCCGAGGATGATTACAACACCAAGCGTCAGACCACTGAGTTCGGCCCCTACCCAGAAGATGATTACAACACCAAGCGTCAGACCACTGAATTTGGTCCATACCCTGAGGATGACTACAACAACAAGAACTAACGTAAGATATTTATGCGCTTTTGTTTCCTCAAGAATGAACTTCAAGACTAACTTGTTGAAACCCATAGTCTCCTACGTCTAAGCTGAGACTGCCCGTCCAACATAAGTCACATTCACATGTCGCTCTTAATGCTTCTTTACTGATACTCGGGTTTCACTATTGGGTCCGCCCTCGGCGCGGAGTTGACATATACCGGGATTTTTTGATACTCGCATCTAGAAACAATCAATGAATACAATATGTTTCTCTTACTTGGCTTATAGTTCTTATTGAAGTGATTTTGAATGTGACATGAGTGTTTACCAAGTACTTTGAAGCTTGAAAGCGATAGTAACCAATGTAAATGGAAAACGAAATCAAGTGAATTAAATTGGTCTGACGCTACTCAGCTCTTAAGAGCTACAAATTTGCCTCGGAGCAACTTTGGGACAAAAGCTCTGCTGTTGAAGAAGCATCGATACTCACATCGCATGCATGCCACTTTTAACTCGGCCACTACCTACTCAAGCTTTTCTCACTAGATTATACTTGTGCTTGTTGCAAGTCCAGCTTAGAAATAGATATATGTAATGCTCTTGGGGACCTCTTCGGGATACAGAAAACAGAGGAACAAGCCACTGTCCCTGGAGGATCAATCCGTCAAGTCATCCAGAAAGATCCACTTGATCTCGAACGGTACGGTATCGCGAATAGAAGCGTAATAAAGCTTCATCTCTTGGGACCAGACACATTCCATATAATCACGGGAAAAGAGCCAGCTCCAATACCTAGCATGGCTAGGCTCTATGCTGAACTTGGACTTCCATGTTTCATTTTCTATGAAGAAAAGACTGCTACTTAGGCGCAGATTTTGGATCATGTCATGTTGAAAATTGATGAAGAGATGGATTAGGAGGTCACTGGTGATTTAATAGGTGAGAAGACCTTTGAACCTAGGATTGTGACGTTGAATCGTAGGCGGCGAAGAGTTTATCCGCATCCGTGGGTAATTTGCGGATAATCCGCTCCACAAATTACCCGCCAAGAATCCTACCTAATCACAGATCATTTGTAGCTTTGAAATTATTTGTCCTATATGAATGATCTTTAAACTGTTTATTTATCTATAAACAAATAAATAGACAAATATATAGATTATTTCCAAACTTAGATACACTTTAATGTGTATATTAATTTTAGAATCTATACTGATACTATACGGCATACCAACAAACAAAATGCTCACCAGGGGAGATGAGTTTCAAATCGTCGGAAATGGATCTCCAATGTAAGATGCGTTCTAAGCAGGTTGTAGTATTAGGATTCCCAAGCAAAGCTTTGATGATAGACACAGGAAAACTCACAGTTCTTCACTGGGGTATACATTTCTCTTACTTAAGTTGATCGACTTATCGTAATTGCTGTTAGTAGGTGTACAGTAATATTGAACATTGCTGAACATTTAGACAATACCTTATACCTCGCAAAGCAAGCAACAACAACCATTAAAAGTTTCTCGGATTTACGGATAATTTTCTCTCTCGTTTCGCAGTCGTAAACCAGATTCTCTTTGCACAGGTAGATGGTAATTCGCAGATGTAGTTGATACACCAACTGAATACGATTCTTTCTTTGTTTGTCCAAGAAGTTTTTTTAAATATTCTTGCTTCATTAGAGTTTCTGGACCTTGGTGGATGATAATGTGAGAGATACCTAATGAGGGAATCGTTCTGCGAGATTAAAAAATCCACTCCTTCCTGCATCGACTTGGGCCACGAATGCCTTCACTATGACTTCCTCATTCCTCGAAGTCGAATTGAAATCCGCTATTGATGGTTTCTCAGGTGGTTACCAAACGATTGCCATAAACAATGACAGTGGTGACAAAATGGAGATATCTTTTCATCGAACGGTTCGGATACCGGATGACGGCAAAAACTACGAGCTTCCCCCTAACCTTGAAAAATTCCCTCTTTTTTCAATAGATGATCACGCAGTGAAGCTACTTGTCGATATTGTTAGGAAGGGAGGTGTATTTATTCCTATTCGGCGTAAGTCTAATTTATCCGCACCCATGCATGGTTGCCATGCTGATGAACGGATTAGAACACGAGGCTTTGTGGATTAAATTTCATGCGTACGGGACTTCGCGATTTGCAGTCAAAGTCTTTGTTAATGGAATTGATGCTATGTCAGAAGAGAGCAGACATTGTGAGATGAAACCTGGGGAGCCTTTCGCTGAATCAGACGGAGAGCAAGATTATCTTGTAGTACCAGGACAAGAATGGTTTGGTGACTTTGTCAGAACTAATAAGACAGTCATACAGCCTGTAGCAGTGCCTACTGGCTCTGGATACTCGGTTGAAGCACAGGTCAAAGATTTCGACAAAATTTCTGGCCTGCAGTTCGAAATCATTCCATTTCGCGTATTGTCTTACTTTGATGGCAAAATAATCATTACAATTCTGACGGGCAAGAGTTTCCCTGTAAATGTGAACTCCGACATGACTGTTGCAACGCTCAAAGGTCGTATATAGGGCAAAGAAAGCATACTGACAGATCAGCAGCGTCTTGTATTCATGGGAAAGATACTCGAAGAACACCGTTAGTTTGACTAAATTGAAAACATTCACAAGCAGCCGGACCGACATGTGATTTGCGGATACCTTAGGAGATAATAGTGTAGAAGAAGTCCGTAATATATCATGAGCTTCACAATGTACATGCTAATCTGATTTTTAGGGAATGACTTTGTATTTAATTCTCAGACTGTGTGGAGATTCCGGTTCTTCAAAATTGTCCTTTTGGGAGAAAGAGTTGCTACAAAAGAACATGAAGAGAGAATTCGAAAAGAAGAAAAAGGAGTTTTACGACAAATAACATGAACTGACATTGGTACCCCGTGGCTCTATTCATCAAGCAATTCGAAGAGACTGTTTTCATAAAAACAGATACGACGAAAAAAATGCAGTTATGTTCAACATACAATTACTTGCCCCCAAAACATTCCACTTAGTCACAGGCACACCGCCTCCTCAGACTCCGGTTTCCGCCAAAACCTACGCTAGATACGGATATCCATTTTTCCAGATGTATAACGAGCCAGGAGCCTTCATGGGTACTCTCGAAGAGTTTCCGAAAACCGTAGAAGATATTGATAAGGAAAAGATTGTGAATTTGGAAGTCCACCAACCAGACAACGTTTTGCATTTCAGGAGTGTGAAGTTGAATACGGTGGATAAGATGAGCCAATTCTACACCAAAACTGCTGTTTCAGATAAGAATGGGCAGAATTAATATCGGTATGATAATTAGAAAGTTGGAAAGAAGGCAATATGTGATAGCTTAGACAAATTGACTGTTTTGTGCTTTTTATGATTTAAGGGTATCGCATGATTGAGATAGACTGAATTCACAGAGCCTCATATATTCTCCCTGTATACTTTGAGCTTATGACTGTGTTCTAAAGAACTACTTCCAATACATGACGGACCACTAGTGGGTATGTGGATCGACGGGTTACTTCCCAAATTTGGATATTCCTCACAAATTCATTCTTCAACTGTTTGATGTCAGAATTCAAACTTTAATTGTTCTATCTTTAACGAACAATTATGATAATTTTTAAAACAATGATCCAATATATGAAAGAATATTTACAAGTACATCTTTGTAATATCGCATCAGTTTTTACACTCACTGGGAGGGGTCGTGATAACATATCATATCATAGGTCTCGCTATGTCAATATCATCCTCTGGAGAGAAAGAGCGATTGGTAAAGCGAACGAAGAAACATGCCGAAAAGAAGGAAAGGGAGGCAGACGACAAGAAACATGAGCTGACAGAGTAATAGTTCGGTAGGTTGAGTGGGGCTTGGTTTGATTGTTTTTCTTAAAAGATATAGATTGACGTTAAGATTTCCGGTCAGACCTCCAAAAAAATTATCATCATAAAACGGTCTGTATGATACGTCATAATTGGTGCTTAGTCGCAAAAGGAAGGTGGAGGTTGAAGGGGGTGCTTTCCCATCCGATTTGTAATGAGGTAGAGTATAAAGAGACCATCTCTTTTACTACCATTTCTAAAAAAAAGAAACTCATTATCCACTCACTCAAGCAACCTGTTTTCTTCCGCACTAGATTTGAGCGAGACGATCTATCCTCATACTACCATCTAGCCCCTGACCCGATATCTTAGCTGGTGACTAGATCACAGTGTAATAAAAAATCGACATCTCATTGTTTCTGAGCTCTGAACTTTACATCCCAAAGCAATACTCCAACGAAGCATAGTAATAAACATGTCAGATATCAAGATGCCGGAGATAACAGACCGAACTTCCTCGAAGAACAACAAGAGAATGGGGCTTCGACAATCTCTTTCCAGCATGAATTCCACTGCCTCAAGCTATTGGGGAACGAAGGCAGAGCTATTGCAACTCGAGCTCGAAGAGATGGACGAAAGATACACCGCAAGCAGAAACAGAACTAGTACTTTGTCAGGGATTTATTTACAGAGCCATGAGCAAGAATTTTTGAAGAGACGGAATGCCCTTGAGGAGCTTGTTCTAGGAGCACTCCAGAAAGAACACGAGCTGGAGATGGCTTTGGAGAGTGCCGCACAATGTTCGAATGGCGAACAAGCAGAACGTGCTTTTGTCCAACTTTTGCTGCTGCACTACATTAAAAACCCGAAATCTCAAAAATCCAACTTCAGACGAGACGTTGAAGATTATTATGGAACTCTGAGGGTTGTAGACAATGATGATGCCGAGGAGGAGCAGACTGAAAACTGGTGCCCTGTTACACAAGCCTGGGCATCTTGTCACAGGAAAGCTGCCCACTTGATCCCTCAACGAATCCGTCAGAAGGGTATGGATCTCATCTTCGGGGAGGAATCTATGGGTGAGATGTACTCACCGAGAAATGGCTTGATGCTCGAAAGCCAGGTAGAAAAGCACTTCGATCACTTACAGCTAGCCATTGTTCCATGTAAGGACGATTCCAATGATTTTGAGCTACGAGTCATCGATAAAGGCTTGTGTAAGATGATTCATGTTGAGTCAAGGTGCTCTTTTGGAGACATGCATGGAAAAAAGTTGAAATTCCTTAATGCAAATAGACCAAGAGAGAGATACTTGTATTTTCACTGGATGATATGCATGGCATTAGCCAGTTCAAAACCGATTAATCAGGAGAGGGTCAAAAACGAGAGAGAACGCCATCAGAAGTTTTGGGGCACACCTGGGAGATGGGTGAGAGAAGAGATGATTAGGGGATTGATCAAACATACGGGCCACGATCTTCCAGTAGATCATACAATTCCAGAAGAAGGCAAGGATGTTACGGAGTTAGTAGAGGAGATATGCAAGCCATATAAGCGTAAGGAAGATGATGAAGAAGACGATGAGGAAAATGATGAAGATTCATGAATCAGTTCATATGGCTCGCAGAGAACTTGTCAAGTTGTTAGTTTAGAGTTGAGGGGAGTATGGTTTACATTTCAGGAGTGCGAAGCTGAATACAGTGGAACAGATGAGCTATTTCTATACTGGATTGGTTTTTTGAAAGAAGGATGCATAGATATAATATAGTAACAGAAATTAGAGTAGTTTGAGAGGAGGCAATAGGTGGTGGTGATTTGAACAGGTCGATTTTCTTGTGGTTTTATGGATTGAGAATATTGCACACTTAAATTAAGCTCAGTTCACGGAATCCCATATATTCCCCTTCTATAAAATTTGAGTATATAGATTGATTCTAAAGAACTGCTTCCAATGCATGTCCGACCACCTTATTTCTGCGCAAGTGGTCAATGTAGTAACAAGCAATAATGCACACAGCCCCACTGCAAGTGAAAAGTCTAACTAAAGTACGCCCTAAGCTTAATGAACATATGTGTCATCGATCCCAACCTAACTAATTTTAAGGGCAATTGGCGCAGAGATCCTCAATGACATGTGTCCATAGAAAACTCAATCACATGATCATGAAACATTAGAGGCCACAGGTCATCTCATTCGCCTAATTATAGAAGATAATCTAGAATGTGAGAGAATCATTACAGACAATGTCGGACATTAGAACTGAAGGAACTTTCATGAACCAGTCCCCGAGATTCTGAATTCACTACGCAATTTACAGAACTGAAGCCATGGAAATGGACTGCTCCGAGCACGGAAATTCTCATCAATCGAATCTTTTAAGCGTGTGGCATCATTCAGCAAGTTTTGTTACAGTTGGGGTGTGTGCTATTGAAAAATCAGATCCATGTGCGTTGAGAGCTTCTGTGTGGCTCAGTACCCCACAAAATTTAAGTTTGAGCCGACGTCTCGCTTAGCAATCTGGGGGAAACCGGACTAGAAGTTCTTTTAGTACATGATATTCCAGACGTCAATTCTACACCCAAAGTGAAAAATTTGTTTGATCCACTAGCTATACTTCCGAGCTAGTTTTGTTAAATTGTCGTAGCTTGCTAATGCTTATCTATACCATGAAATGCGACACTAAACATTTTTTTCCTCGCATAAATCTTTTGTCTGTATATAACTTTTGAAGACTACAAAATTTCTGAAACTCGGAAAGTATTTACGACCACTTATTGACATATTCAGAATCTCACCGAAACTCCAAGATGTCTCGAACATCACCTGCTCAAAACTTGCCTATTGGGGCCGATGAATCCTCAGCGCCCCTTCAACAGGATCAAGAAACTATTCCCAGACGCGTCGAATACCGACCCGAGAACCAGCGCGAATACAACAATGCTGAGAAATTTACCCTGGATCCAAAGATTCGTGAGGATCCTCTGTTCTTGAATATCCTTTCGGGGATGGATGACGTACAAATCGCCGGCCAACAACGGGAAATACTGAATGGACATGGGGCGGAACAATATGCTGCACAGAGTGGTAACGAAATAATAATGAACTGGATTTCACATGTGCAAAGCGAAAGCGAAAATTTTACAAAGTACGAGTATGATATGAACGAGGATATCAACAATGGAGATATTAGTCTCAATGGGTATGGGGCCAATGCAAGCTTACTCAGCCCAAAAGAGCTCTTCGAAACTAAAGAGGAAGTCGACCTCAGAATCCAATCCGCCATCGACATCATATCGTTTTACACTGAGCGACCTGCATTCATCGCAAAGAAATCCACTTCCGCTGCCAATGGCGATGAAAGTTATTCGGGGCGAAATCGATAGTGATAATATTTAAGACTTACGAGATTCAATCTCTCATAAATGTGATGGATGATTAGTGTTCTGTGTAAAGTTTCATCAGCTGATAAGTTTTTAGACCGAATAATACTGCATAATTGCATGCGGATATTCTCTCTCCAATTCAAGTAGGAGATTGAGATATGAGAAACTTCAGGAATCCTCGGACTTCTGATTGAAGCTCCCCTCCTGGCCATCGAATTCTCTCGCATGTAAGTCACATTCACTATCTAGTCCACGTCCTCCACCGCTTGGTAGAATATCTCAAAAGTTTCGTTGCATATCTGCTTCAGGCTATGGATGCCTATTGATGCCTATGCCAGATAGTCTTTAGGTATCATTCGGATTCGAAAGCATCTCATAATTAGTCATTACTTGTCATAAATGCCAGGCTGATTTCCCATTCTGAAGATGGCAATGATACTCAGAAAAACATTCCTCACCTAGCGACGAGACAAGATACCCGGACAGGCCTATTGCATCAAGAGGACGACTGTTGTAAAAGGCCAAAGATGTACCAAGATGTGAACCCAGTCAATAGCCTATCTTGCACCTCTGTTAGTGTCCTGAAGCAGCCTGCATAAGTAACGCCATCAGAAGCTTGGGATCTGTATCGAAGGTCTTGATTCCCCTGCTTGATGAAGTACCATTATACTGATAGGATTTAGAAATACCATCACCAATCATGAAGGTTTATTTGGAGAACTTCTGGCCACAAGGAGTATATCTTGATGGATTTTTGTTGGGGATCTAGGGTGAATGATGATCTCTTTAATAAATGCATCGAGGAGGATCGAGCCTTGTCTTCTTCTCGTAATCTTAGAGAAAACATACATCGAATATGAGGTCTTCATACCTTCTTTCCGACCTTAGAGCATGCAAATAATGAGGTGTCGTTGTTGATGGTGGGGTAGAGAGTGCGATCACACCGGCCAAAAGGTTATGACTCAGTATGCTTTATGACTTCAACATTACGCTACACTTCAAAGCTCATAGAATACATGTTACACAAATTATAAGAAACGTAGGGCAAAAATTTCCAGTAAGATGTCATTGCTTCAGTCGAAGATTCAATATTATGAAGTCGTATCCTCACCCTTCACCTTGCCCATTTCTGTGAGATCATTACATGTGACAGCTGCCTTGTTATTCTACCATTACTATAAATAGAACATCAATATCATAAAAAGATCATCACGTAAAGAGATGAGTCAAGTTGCAAACGGGAAATATCTTACGATCTAATCATCCACTGTCCTGACAAAACCTACATCTTCATTGGTCCATCTAGATGACCTCACTGATATGGCGTGTCGTAGGTCTTCGAAACTTCTAGTTTTTGCTATTGCCTGGAATCACAGCAAAGCAAAAGATTTGAAGACACAGATTGATATCAGAATCGTTCCGACAGAAGTTAAGAAATAATTGCTGGCAGACGTCGTCTTTTTCGTAAATATGGACGACCCCTTACTACAACTGGCGGGCCTACCAGGAATGAGGTCTCTCGGAAACGGTCCACTCCCTGACGACGGAGTTGATCGCACACCAACCCAAAGATATCTTTACAACACCAGGGCATCGTATGACAGTAAAGGATGGTCGAAAGATTTCTTATCCACTGACGGTCGAGTAAGATACTTGGAACGCAGCAATTTAGCCCCGTTTTCGACAAATAGAAATACCTTCCTTGGTTTGCCTTGCGATCACAAGGATGATTGTAATATTGGTTATAATCATTGGACCAGCCCATCAGCTACAAGATTTATTCCCTGTGGACAAATGGTACCATACTATCTCAACGGCCATGGTTGTTGTCCAAATTGGTAATATTGCACATCGTTAACGTTTCATGATATATACTAACACTAATCATAGGCTTCTCAGGGGTCTTATGCTTCTACCTTTGCCAATTAGAGAAATTATCTACGAGCAAATCGTTCATTATGAGGATCTCCTTAGTTGGGTTTCCACGAATGATGAATCGACACAGACAGTAAAGACTAAGGAAACAGACTCCAGTTTCGTCTTTAAGCAGTATTATGGGGTTCCTAAACTCGAAGATAAGATTAAGATAACCACGTGCCATGCAATGGGAGAGTTTTGTTGGATAAGAGGGTTCGCGGAAGCGTTGCGAAGACGAGAAAACGACGGTAGCCAAGAGGCGAAAGAGGTTTTGATCGACTTTCTTGGATTCCTTATCCCACGTGTGTTGTGGTCTATGAAATGCTGCAACCAGCGATGGAAGAGTGATCTTAATGTTCCTATCATTGAGGTGTGTAATTAACTTGCCACCATGACGATTTGCTTTTCCATTGTAATTGAAAGGCTAACAAAGTTACTCTTGCAGAAATCTTTGACGTGGTTGAAGAGAAATAAATTGTTCCATCCCTGCATAAAGCACATCTCTATAGATTTCGACTCTAGAGATGAGTTTAATGTACCTTTCTTTGAGGGTTTTGTTGCTTTATGTCGGTATATATCAATCGATCTTCCCAGCCTTGATTCTGCAATTCTCTGGTTGACGATTGCTGAAGATGATTTCCAGGAGGTCTTATGATCTCCAATGAGGTTTCCTTGGGTCCGATCTTTTAGAGAATTGCGAATTGAGAAGGTTGACATCTGCCCGATGTTGACCAAATTGGGAGAATTAGACGAGTCCAGGAGGGATAGGTCACGATATTGCATCAATGAAAGGTCTAATTACTTTTGGGATTTCCATCACGTTAGGCTTGGTTTACAAAGCCTTCTTCTCAAGGATTCGAATAATGAGAGAGAATCAATCACTCATATATTGACCCCGAGTTCTAAGCTTTGGAGCTATACAGATGACATGGATGATGATGCCTACGTCTCATTACAGTATATGGACGGTTGGCTTAGCTATACTGACGATATTGCTGATGATGCTTACCTTTCACTGCAACTTATGGAAGGATGGAACAAGAAACCTCTCAAGTCGCCTCGCTTTGAAGGATCAAGAAGTTTCGCAAACTTTTGAGACTACAAAGATGTCAATTACCTCGTCAAAGTCCTCTCAATCAGTTAGTACCGCAGCAAAATATTCGGCGGGCAGAACAAGCGGCTTTTCGCAATCTTCTTCCAGGTGACGGGTAGCCAAGATCGATCTGGTATCAAATGAAGTTGTAAACTAGTATTAGATTAACAACAAGCGATGAGCTTCAAAAAATAGAACAGACTTTTCGTGATATTACCGCCGAAACTTTGAAATGCAACCTAGTACAAAAAGCTCGATTTGTTAGCACAGTCTGGCTATAGTGCTTTCAAAGCAGGAAAAACAGGATTCAAATGAAATTCAGGATTTTTTGCGTCTAATTTCATCTTTGAAGGAAGTTCCTCATCATTGTTACCAAATGTGACTGCGCTAAACTCTTACTTTACTAGAGATTTACTTAGTTAATCGAACAAACATCCTTTTCCTATGTATCGAACTAGTTCTTGATCAGAATATATTCATAGACTCTAAGGCGATCATTTACAGACTTTAGAGATAAATTGAGGGGAGCTAAAAATGAATGTCCAATGAGTGAGTATCGAGGAAATTGTTTGATTCGTCAATAAAGGACACGTATAATGATAGCTGTCAGCTTCAATAGTCGAAAATAAACTCTTCCTAACGTGAAGAATATGATCAAACTTTACTAAATCGACTCTCGTGATCGGAAAAAGATCTTCAAAAATCGATAGTATTGAAATTAGAGTCCTAAGTAGTGAGCTTAGGCGAATGACACAATTTTAGCTTGGAGATCTTCATTTTAATTGGGGTATAAAAGTCTGCACTTCCCCTGCAATTCTAGATTTCTTTTCAACTTCTGAATTCATCATAAATGAATATGGAGTTGAGTAATCTTCTGTTCGTTTCCCGAATGGATCCATCCTGTCGAGGACGATCAAATCTACCCTAATAGTCCTTTCGCCTCGAATCCTGAGGCTCAGGCCTGACAGCTTCTACGACAATCATCGCCACTCAAGACTTCAATGTGCAAGCTCTATCAACTGGTAAGACACCTCCTCTTCCTCCTGAATCGATGTTCAAAGCTCAAGAATTATGTCTAAAGAAGAACTAGCAAGGATCGATCAGCTCAAAGCTTTCACAACTAATCATGTGCAGACCCAAGACGCTTATCAGGTCGGTATTTTTCATCTCTTATGATAATTTGAGCTAACGTGATGAACCTTCAGATCAAAGCTTTATCCTATCAGATGTATCATACCGATTCAACTACTGAATACTCTGGTGTACAATTGGACAATGAAGTCATTCAATCTCTAAATCCGAATGTAGAATTGAGATAGTTTGAAATGCTGAGCTTACTCTAATCGCTATAATATGTCCAAACATTAGACTATTCTCATGGTTTGTATGACTCTACAGAATGAAATATCTTCCAATCTCACGATGGTTCAGATTTCTGAGTACATTCAAACATTGAAAGCATTCGATTTAAAGTATCTTTACGAGGTTGTTTACTCCAAGACATCGAAAGACTTTCGAACATCGAAAGTGTCTCATTGTTGGACAGTAATCCGGACTCATGTACATTCTACCTTCATTCCCATTTCGCCAATCACTATCTGCGAATGAGGCTAGTGTTCGGTATCAACTATATATTTTACATTTAACGACAAACCACCCTCGTTTGGAACGATCCCTTAGCGGAGTGGTTAGTAATGTTACTTAATCCCTCATGCCTCCCTTTTTTGGTAATGTGAACAAAGTCCTGTGAAGGATGATGTTCACATTATTAACTGTGGATCCCATGTGTTCGGCGGGTTGGACAGCTGTCATGATCTTCATACACTCCGGTGTATGTTTTGATTTGATGGTGTGCAAGCTGGTGTCCGCGTTATTTTAGAGCTCTTATGCTTGGGGCTGGAAGTGAGAGTGCAAAAACAAAGGGGAATTCCCTTTTGCACTTCCTTCAAATCTTTGGCACGATGTTTTCGCTAGACTCTAAAATACGGACCTCCTGCTGAAATCTGGGATCTACAGGAAGGAAAATGGCAAAAACTCAAGAGTTATCTTGTTATAACCCTCCTTATGTGTGTAGTCTTTCCGACTACAACATCATGGGGGGTTAGTTTCGACGGAAAGCAACTTGATGTCTGTTTTCTTTCGGACTACAACATTCAAAGTGCGTTTCGACGGAAAGCAACTTGATGTTCGTTTTCTCTTCGATTACAACATTCAAAAGCTTTGCCTGTGGAGAAATTCATTTGCAACAGTTCTAAGGTAAATAATACTACCCCTTTCCTTTTGCTACAACATGCTCATCTATCATCTAGACACGACAACAACAATATTTTAATATGTATCTTATGATTCACACACGACGCATTCATGAAAACATCGAAATCGGTCAATAATCATTAACGTAATCGAAAGCTACGACTACTCGTGATTGACTTCTAGGACTCTAACATAGCGGGAGCAAATGGATAATCAAGGCCAAGATCTAGGTGTGTTCCCGCCGAAAAGCAACTTGAGGATTTTCGCATCTTGAGTGATTACAACATCAAGGTGGAGTCACTCTTTGTTACGAAATCACTATTCAAAACTACGTTGTTCCGCGATTACTTCCTGGCTTCTGACTCCTTGCCATCCAAAGACCAGACCAGCAATTACGATCACATTCCAATTAGTGCTATGCTTGCGCATGATCATTCCCACATTTTCAGTGTCATTACACCACTGAGAACAACTTCAAGACCAAGATCCAGGATAAGGAGTGGATTTGTTCGGGAAGCGATTCGATCATTCCTTCTTCTTGACTGCATGAATCTATGGGCAACGTCAAGGCCAAGATTCATGTCTCGCCTGATTGCATCAAGGCCAAAGTCTCGTTCGTTATCGCAATTAAGCAGGACTCAAAGCCAACCACATTCTTTAAGCTTTTCTCTAACCACTCAAACTGGTACTGGCCTGAACTTGATGAAATACACACAATACCAAGACATTAAGTACAGCAGACTGTGAGATGCAATCGCGAGGACTATGAATGCAGATTCGGGAAGTGGTAAAAGTCAATTGTGAAGGCTAAGATTCAAGTTTTTCTTTTTCAAAATTTATCAAAATTTAAAATATATCCTACTTTCATATTACAACGAGACGGCATTCCGCTAGTTCAACACTTCGCTTTTCGTGATCATCCAACATTCGACCATCTCGCTTTCATCGACTGCATATTCAAATTTTGGATCTCGATTCTATGGAAGAAAATGAGTGGATGGATTATTTCAAAGGGAGATAGGGATATGGCAGGATGGAAATGAGGAGAATGATAAAGGGTGGTGGATAGACAAAGTAAAATGAACGATGCAGGAATAATTTCAACAAAATCGTATACATGTATGCATCAGATTTAATGACAAAATTCTCGTGTGAATAATTATATATAATTTTTATCGGTGTGAGTAAAATATTACAATATGAGAATAAAAATACAAATCTATGGGGAATCTCTAATGACCATCTGTAACGCCCACAAACCATTCTATTTCATTACCATCATCATCTCTAACCATCCCCTCGTACAGATCATTACATCATCCATCTTCTCCAGCCCCATCCCCCACCCCGAACCGTCAAGCTCACCATCTCCCCACCTCTACCCCCTAAGGCGTACTCACATAACTTCTCTGTCTCTCCAACTCCTCCTCCCCCGCCCTCCTCTCCCCCTCCTCCTTCTTCCCCACATCCTCCTCATCCTCCCCTCCATAAGCAAAGCGACTCTTCTCCCTAATCTTCGCGCCCCACACCCAGAACACAAACGGAATCGCACAGCACGCCAACGCTATAAAAGCCAGCAACGAACTCGCCCATTGGTATCCCAGTCGCGCATACATTTGTTCCGTGAAAAGCACCACCGCAGCTCCCCAAAACGATCGCAGGAAAGTTTTCGCCGCGAGCGCGGAAGCCGCTTGATGTTGATAGCTATCAACGAGATAATTGTTCGCAGCGTTGTAGAGGAAGATGAATCCGAATCCGACGGGAAAGCCGCCGATCGCGGGGCCGATCCAATGGAGATGCGGATAGGAAGTCCAAGCGAAGATGAAGAGGCCGATGGGGATGAACCAGCATGAACACATCATGGGGATGAGTCTCACTTCGGCGGGGGGATGTCCGTTGTATTTTCGTACTTGGGTCATGTAATTGCGGTTTACGATGGGAGCGCACAGAGCCGAGGCGATGACCCCGAGAGCGAGAGGGATGAACATGAGTCCGGTGGTGCCTGCGGAGTAACCTTTTCCTTCTTGGTAGACGATGGGGAAGGCGACGAAGAACATGTAGAGGAGACCGTAGAGGACGCTCATGTAGAGAGAAATGAGGAAGACGATAAGTTCCCCGAAGAGCAATTGAAAAGGGCGGATGAGGAAGATACGGAGACGTTCGGCGAAGGGCCGGAGATCGAGATCTTGTTCTGTGACGTGTTCCGGGTTGCCGGTTTGCTCGCGCATTTTCTTGGCTCGTCGCGCGAGAATTGTAGGGGCGTAGGTTTCGGGGACCGTGAAGGTGATGAGGACCCAGACGATGAAGGCGAAGATGATTTGGATGTAGTAGAGCCAGCGCCAGCCTGCTGCGTCGGAGAGGAAGCCACCGATTAGAGGACCGATTGCGGGACCAATGAAAGGGGCGGCGGAGAAGGCGGCCATAGGCACACCGCGTTCTTCGGTACGCCAGAGATCGGCGAGGGTGCCGCCTACGAGGGTCATGGGGGCTGAGAACCATATACCATCGAGAGCGCGACAGACGAGGAGGGTTTCGATATTTTGGGCGACGGCGCAGGGAATGATGAAGATTACTGCGAGGAATAATGTAACTCCGTATATCCAGCGGCGACCGACAACTTCGGAAAGAGGAGCAAACATCATTGGACCTGATATGTGTTAGCTTTCTTTTTTCAACTTAAGATATACACCAAAGAATGAAAATCAACATACCAATACCAAAACCCATCACGAAAACCGTGATACTAACAAGAGCTACCTCCTCCGAAACGTTAAATTCCTCTTCCACACCAATCAGATCCGCCGTAATAATTGACGAAGCGAGGGCCACCACAAAACACGTCATTGCAACCACCATGGTAATATACCACTTAAACGCCTTTGACCAATTTTTAGGATTCTCCGGATCATCGGGGAGGAAAGTAACGAGTTTATAATCTATCTTTCCATTTGTTTTTGCAGAGGGAATTTCACCTTCTGCTTTCTCGGCTGTGTATTCGGAGAGATTGGCATGGGGACTGAGCGTTCGATAGGGAAGATTGATGTCGAGATTTGGATCTCGGGTTTCTTTTCGCGAGAGATGGGTTGGGGTGTTTTGGAGCGTGGTACTGCCGCGTCGGGAGTGTGTGGATTTGTGGGTGGGAGTATGGGTGATGGGTACTTGGGGGTCTCTTGGATGATTGCTGAGAATGGAGTCATAGAGGACATCTTTGGGATTCGAGGTACTACTCTCTGTGTCTGACATTTTGATGGAGATGGATGTGGATGTTTACCATGCGATATATTAGATATGGTGGGTGTATAGACGGCTCTTACAAGCGTGAGAGAAAAAGACAAAGTAAGAATGCAAGACAAAAAAAAAAAAATATGAAGCCCAATGTAGCAAATAAACAAAATCCCCTCACAAAGGTACCTTGACCTTTATATATCTTCCACCATCCAGATGCTCACTTCCGCTCTCACCCATACAACATCCTCAAGATCCGACATCCTCCTCTCAACATTCACACACTCGACTCAAATACCCTATACACACTAGTTATCACCACTCAGCGATCCACAAAAAAATCCCACAACCCTGTCTCAGATCTTCAAAGTCAATGTAAAACCGTCCCACGACGCGATGTTTTCAGATAACAGAAAACCAAGCGATATCAAAAACTTTATTCTTGCCGACTTACATCCGCTATCATCCGGGCTTGTGTTGGTCTGCGAGCTGATGTTGTGGGTGGAGATGATTCTGTGTCTAGGGTGATGAATAAACCTCGTTTAAAGCCTGGGAGTAAAGGAGACGGGAATAAGTATCGAATAGGGTTGTTTTTTTTTGGAGACAATTTACTGTGGTGATGGGTTGGGAGATTGGTGGAGGGATGAGATCATCGCATCTCTTGTATCTCATTTGAGATGCTATACTGTGTTTTCTGTATGAGAAATAGCCTATATACATACCTACCTACTCATACATAACCCCAAACATCCAAAGATTCGGTATTGAATCAATCATCCTGTGAAAAATGTTATTTATTCCAAGGCTCACCTTGAATCCACAAACCATAAACACACTCACAAACCTAACACCACAACATCGCACCACAGCACAGCAGACCACACAATCTAGACCCTCCCCCTCCCTCCCTCTCTCAATACCTACTTCGTACAAAGTGTACACGCCACCATCATCCCCTGTCCCGACCAGTACAAGACCCATCACAACAATTAGCCCCTCCCAAACACCATCATCTTGGCACACCATTCGGCCCATCCATTCGGCCCATTGCGTTGCAAAATTTTTCCCCCATCCCCATCACCACCCATCCCGTTTCCTGATAACACATTATGTCGTTCCTGCGATGCGGTCACGGCCCGAGGTAATGAGTATGGGATTTCTCGGTTGTGCTTTTGTCGTTGCCGATGTCGGGTGCAGGGATGTTGGGCGTTGGCTTGCGTACGGCGTAGGGCTGAGTGGATGGTGCAGGGGTGGAGATGCGTGTGTATATCTAGGTAGGTAGGTAAGGAGGTAAATCTAGGTGTACTGGATGGGTATGAAAAGGTGATGAAGGTTTTATTTTACGGAAGGTTGGAATTTGATATTTGATAAATAACTATTAATTCCAAAGCGGAAGAATAAAGAATGAGAGAAAGATAAAAGTATGTTCAACACACATCAAAAACCCTTCTCATTCCCCCCTCAAAATCCTCGAAATACACAGATCCATTTACAACAATACCGATGAGCTTATTTATCAATGGGTATTCATTTCTAAATCTCGATCCGATTTTACATCTACCTGCTACGCTATGTTTTGCGCAGAGTATAGGTAGGTACTTAGCACTATCGGATCAGCACTTTGCATGTATGTACTTGAACTTATATACTCTTTTTTAGTGAGCTATAAGCAGATTACCTACTCCTACTAAGTCCTTCCAAGAATATTTATCCTCGTTATTTACGCGTGTTTGATTCTGAAGTAAGAAGCACATTCTCGACCCTGCCATCCAGCAGGAAATATCTTGCCGCTCCTGACCTCCCAAGTTCTACGGGAAAGACATTCCACAACGTCAAATCTATCCAAAAATACACTAGATCCAAAACCATTTCCCCCTCGCTCAAAGCATCGCCGTAGCATCCAGCACCGGAATATCCATACTCAGGAAAGAGTCCCAATCAAACCCGGTAAAATCCATCGAGCCGATATTCGGCATTCCAGGCATGATCCCATTCCCATTCCCATTCACATTCGCATTTCCCATCATCGTCGGCGCCAGCATCATCTGTCTAGTGTTAAAAGTGGACATCGGTAATTGGTTAGTCTGCATTGGTTCTATCCTGGTCTTGAGGCCCTGGCCGAGAATATTAATTTCTTCCTGTTTCCTCTTTTGAGATAACTCCACGAGGGTTCGAGCCGTTGCTGCAGATTCTGTAAGTGAGCGAGTGGTGAAACAGCGGGATACTGCATCTAGAGTTTCGAGAGCTTCGCCGATATGCGAGAGTGATTCGGGGGTATCTATGACAAGGAGGATACAGACGAACTGAAAGGGGATATTGGCAACGTGCCACCAAGGTTGACGATTCTCTACCATTTTCATTACGGATCCTAAGCCTTTGATACCAATTGATATCACCTGAGAGATGGTATCCTGTGATATAGTTGAGGCGAGGAGACGTAACCGGCGGTACAATCCTAAGCCCAAGTTCGTTTGTGAAAGTATGGCTCCATCTGATCGAGCATGAAATCTGTAGATCGATTCTATACCTGCTTCGAATTCTACGGACGTATGGTTCGTGTCCTGATCGAGGCGTTCTGATATCTGAAACAAGGCGAGATAATCGAGTGTGATATCCGCTTCACTTTCGGGCGAGGGAAAAGGAGGTGTAGGTATTTTCACAGTAACCTTCGACCGACCATAATCATTCGCAACCCACGAATTCATCAGTCGAGCAATCCAAAATAATCTCTGCATATTCAAGACGCCACAACCGATTCCTCTCTCGAGCTCCGCATCGCTACTGCTGTTATCCGAATCATCTTCCATTCCTACACTTTCAATAATGTGCATTGTCGTACAACTGGCAATCCAGGCAGCGTGAGGACAGGCCGTACATCTCAAGAAAAGTGTCCTCAATACCCATGCGACCACATGGTGCCGAGAAGGATAGTTCAGCACACTCGTCGTTTCCAAAGCCATCTTTGCCAATTCCACCAATTGTGCTTCTGCTGGACTGGGATTGCCACCCGAAAACAAAGATCCCAATGCTGCAACACCACACAAGATGGGATCGTGGGGATCAGAGTTTTCCAGATTTAATCCCCATCTCTCAACAATCTTTCGATCAAACAAATCTCTCTTGAAGATTCCAAAGATTTGATGCGTCGTATCAAAATAATGATTTGCGAGTCTCTGCATCTCAGCTTGCCCTATCACTCTCGTGATCGGCGGTTGAGCATATGATTGTTCATCCTTGAGACCCAAATTCCAAGCCAAATGCGGTTTACTCAACTTCCCAGCATCCAATTTCAAAGCCAAAGAAGCGGCAAAAGCTTTCCCCCAAAGATTTGTATCTTTGGCACCACTGGTATGAGGGACATGAGCACTTTCACTATCTGCTCTCTCCCGTTCATCTCGATGATGAATGCTCGCATCAGGTGAACTGTGACTTTGCGAAACATCCGTGTCGTGATCTTTCAGAGTATGTCTTCTCCGTTTCCTCGGACCAAGTTCATAATGACATTCGTAGCCGTATCGAATACATGTAGCGCAAGGCTCCGATCCATCACAACGCTTCTTTCTCGATTTACAAGGTTGACATGCACGTTTGACCCGTTGCCGCCCAGGTCGGATGTCAGGTCGGATGTCAGAGCCTTGTTGGTTTGGTAAGTTGGGATCGATTTGCTGATCTCCCGCAAAAGGTTGCGGCTGCACTTGTTGATTCGATTCGGTTGGTTGGTTCAATAATTGATTATCCATCTTCCTTTTCTTTTTCTCTCAATATAAGTAGGTGGTAGAATTGATTCAATGAAAATGATTTTTTGGTTCAAACTCAAATGTTTTAATGAAATTTTGCGCCTCCGGGATAGGTTCTAATTCGGCCGAAGTCTCATGTAGGACTTTCCAAACCCCTGTTCAGTAAAGAATACAAAATCGCTCACCAAAATTCTCTAATGCTTATCAAGAAATACTCTTTTCAGGAGGTTGATAAGTTATATCATGTATAACTATATATATATATATAATTATGCGTATTAATGTTGTTCTTGCATCAATTGATACAGTTGATAATTTTCAGTATCAAGGTAGGTATCCTCGGTACTTGCTTGACATGTAAGATCCCAATCTAGATTTAATCTTCCTCACCTAGTGATAATTGTTTGAGTCAGGAGTTCGAAAGATTCTATGATACCTGCTATTTCCGGGATTCCCTCTCACCAAAGCTTCTTGCAGAAAAGATCTGTCGGATACAAGTTACAACGGGATATTCGGTCATCGATCCACTTTATCTGGATTTAGCACTGAACTTTGATGAGGAAGAGATTTAAGAGACTTCAATGCAGGAAAGCTTTGATGTCGTCTTCAAAATGTCATCTGTGATTACTCATCATCATGGTGAAAGAAAACAAGATGTGATTGTAGCAGAGCGTAGGTATTGGATGGTAGCAGTTTGAACTCATTAATACCTTCAGACTCGAGATCCTTCTCCAAACTACCCTTTTGAACAAACGTCGTCACCAAATATGATATTGATACTCGAACCGATAGAAAATAATACTCAAAGAATTGATAGGATACAATAGAATTGCTACCGACGATGTCGATGCTAGTCTCTACGCAACGCACACAATGACGCACGGAGTCGATTCCACTCAAACCAGTGTGATCTCACCAAGACTTCACAGCACAGCCAACAAACCACCACCGAGATTTATCCGACTACATCTCATTCCAGATCAAACCGCGACAATATCATGACTTCCACCATGCGGACACCAATTGGTAAGTGATGAGAACCAGGTGTACAATGAATAAATCCCCCAGCTTCCCATCTCCTTCTCAAACATTGCAGTTTGAACAATCGAATCGAACAGAAATCAAGTCCAGCCAAGTCAAGTCAAGTCAAGTCTATCTTCTCGCATCAAACTATCACTCATAATTCAGGACCATCTCATCCATCATCCACCTTAAACACTACCTCCCCACCTACCGGACACCACTTCAAATTCATATTCATATTCATATTCAAATTCAAATTCAATTCCCATTCCAATTGCGGATTCACCAACATCAACATCAATACTTCCATCTCCCAAGTACTCCGATGAATTGAAATAAGTAGAAGGGAAAAAGAATGATCAGATATAGATAGCTTTAGTACTTTTCATCTTCTGAATTCCCCCATCACATATGGTATATAGAACTCTTTTACAGTTCATCTCTATCTCTATCTCTATCTCTATCTCTATCTCTATCTCTACACTCCTCATTAATCATATACACCGAACCACTACACTACATCCTCCCCCAACCCTCCCTCTATCTCCTCTACATCCCCCCCCCCCCTACTCTTCCCCCCCATTCCTCTTCATCCTTCTCCTAACCTATTCATTCCCCCCGCTTGCCTCTCTTCCTCTCCCTATACCTTTCTATCACCTATCACCTATCACCTATCACCCATCACCCATCACCCATCACCCATCATCTATCACCCATCATCTATCACCCCATCCCCATTCAATCTCAATCTACACTCCACCTCATTCCATTCCATACTCCTCTTCATTCCTTTATCCTACCAATGCCCAATAATATCACTTCTATAATAGTAATAATAATGAATATCTTTCTCCTCTCCCGTTCTCCTCTTTCCTCTCAACCCTCATTTAAAACAGAAGAGCTGTAGACTTTCTTTCTTCTTGTTCTTCCTCCCATCTCCCATCTCCATCCCATCTCCATCCCATCTCCATTCTATCTCCCATCCCACCCCCTCCAAAAACCCTCAAGACTTCCCTCAAGATTTCCCTCAAGATTTCCCTCAAGACTCCCCTCAAAACCTCCCCCCCCCCAAAAATACCAAAACTCTAGAACCCAAAAAGCAAAAAGCAGAAAGGAAAAAGGAAAGAAACAAACTACCAAAGGATCTGCACAAGACATACACATAGTACGCAACCTGATATAAAATATACGAGGATAGTAATTATTATATGAATCATTGCGAGCGTGAGTATGAGAAGAAGTAGAAACAGGGGCGGGAGTAGAAGCATAAAGATATAACCAAGTGCTTTATATATCAAGTGCCCACAAAGATGATTCCACAGTTCCGATAATCAATACGTATCCGATATAATAAAATTTGAATTTGATGCAGTGAAGATATGAATTTATTGAATCATATTATATGTTATTGCTAAGACTAAGTTATCTAGAAATATTCTGCATCTCCCAATTCCAATTCAATTCGATTCGATGATGTAATGCAACTCCCGAGAAGAGAGTAGAAGAGCACGCGCGCGAAAGGAAAAAAAGAGAAATTGCAACCTATCAAGATGACGCTTTGCTCACTATAAAGATCGAACGCACCTTTGATCTAGGTACTCTCATTACTTTGGGGGCTTCCTCGGGTCCTCGTTTACTCATTTCAATTCGAAATCTGCTGTTCATCCTAAACGATGCGTATAGCTTTCGGAATTTTGCTCAGCATGTTGCATGACTGCTCCTACGTATTTCGCTTTGAATCATTTCCTCCTTGGACGAGGCCTCCCTGTGACAGGCGAGGTTTGAAGTTGACATTTTCATCCTCACTTTCTTTGTTAATGTCGAAAATTCAACCCCGCACACTTTTCGTCACACAATTCCTCATTTTCTATTATCTACACTTGACCCACGCTCGCCTCGTATTGTATCCAGATAATCTCCTCTCGATGAGTCTATACTTGGTCTTAAAGAAGAACTTGAGCTCCTTCTTCTTCTCGCTCGAGATTCATTTGGATTCAAAGGGTTGAGACCTGATGTACGAGCGAAGAGATTGAGAATATCGGATAGAGTAATGACACCTGTCAAACGACCTGAGATGCGTGCACCGGGTAAAGCTGCGGCAGATACGGTAGGGAATGAAGGAGAAGGCGGCACGGAACCACTGCCACTGGGTTGTTGAACAACAGAGGCATGTGCGAGGGATGGGGTTGCAGGAGCTGATGGAGACGGAGATGCCGATTCGACGACCCACATACGGTGAGACCTGGTTGCGACAAGTTTCGCTACAGTATGGGCGAGAGTCGAATATGGGTTGACGTGAAAGACCGGAAATGAATCCTTTCCATCACCAATTCCTCGTTCGCTCAATATGACAGAGATGAAATGTATGCAAGAGGATTGAAGGAGAGGTAGACTACTTGTGTGTGTAAGAAGTTTAGTGTCAGCTGTTGATATGTTACCAACAACATTTGCAGCGTTGTCAACCACTGCAATACTGGTTAGTCCTTCGTTGCTCATGAGCTGAAGAGCATCGGTGAGAAGTTTGTCACCACTAGACCCGTGTTAGCAGAGGTTATGTTGTGAGGATACTGACAACTCACTTGATTGCGATAGCGTGCTGTGTTCCAATATTCAAATCTCTCAGAATAGTTGGATATAACTGATCGATGGCTGGAAAACTACTACCATTATCCCATAGAAATTTAACCAATTTCAACTGACTCAAAATTCCCACAACTGTTGTAGTGCCTGGCTTGCAAACAAGAATACGATGTACACCACTGCCAAATATCTCTACGGCTTTCGAAAGGTCTTCCGATTCCGAAAGGGTTGTCAGAGGTTCTTTTTTGGCAAGTGTTACTACATCTCGAAGTGGAATAGGTGCGCGCTCCTGAGCTTTGCTTGCTAATTGCGAATATGTATCTGTTTGTTCCTCATCGGGGCTTGCTAATCCAAGGACTACAAGTAAGTATGCATTGAGGTCGTTGTAGTCGAAGCTGTCGCAAGCAGCCACATCGTTTGGAGTTTCGCGGATAAGAATGACATTTGGGGGGCCGGATTCTATGAGCGCCTATCGAAGAGATTAACATTCAAAATGAATAACATGAAGAGACTTATGCAAACCTTTGTCGCATGTTCAACATCTGTATCAAGTTCACACCAATGGATATCAGATTTCTGTACCAATTCTCCAACGTGAATTTGTCTCCAATCCCTTCCTGCGAATTTTGGATCTCCACCTTTTTGTGCCGGGGGGTGATTTAGTAACTCTTGAACCGCAGCTTGTGTGAATGATGGATGCCTTTGAGCTCTTGGTGATTGACGTAGATTATCGGCGAAGCTCGAACGATGATTGATATTGGCAGGATTGATATTACTCGGTGAAGAAGTACTTTGCCTCGGAGGAGGGTCGAAGACTGTGCGATCTGCCATGGCAGAGAGAGATTAATATGAGACTTGAATTTATCGCTACCCAAGTATGTAGTTTGTTCTTTGGGATTGTATGAGTCGTGATTTTAATTTGTTGGATTGATGATTTTTGATTTTGATTGTTGTTGGAGCATAGATGGGAATGATGATCATAGCGAACATGGATTGAGGGGTAGCAGCACGCTAAGATCCCTTCCGATCTAAAAAATTGGGGTAAATTTGGTCATGATGACTGTTTAAGTAGTTAATATAAATTGTGATTTGCTGTAAATTACGAGGGGAAGGGATGATATTTACTACCAAGTTTGATCATATTTTGAGAATGGGATAACGTAGTTTATCAGTGCATGCACTATATCAGTATGTGCATCACGAATTTTATATACAAAATATGTTTGTGTGTAATTGTGCACTTTCTTTATTTATTAATATAATTAGATTTTTTAAGGAAATTATTATATTTGTTTATATAAATAATATGAAAATCGAATTATTTTCCAAAATTTTAAATTAAAATAAAAATTCTTATTAAAATAATTTTTTTGTAATGAAAATCGTAACAATTTCAACTTTTCTAGAAATATAATAGGAATATTTATATAAAATTTAGATTTCTAAATATCTTATTTTTATTATTATTTAATATATTTTTTTTTGGAAAAAAATAATGATTTGTTATTAAAATACAAATCTTAAAAAAAGATTAATTTAGATGTATTTTGAAGTGGTGCATATACTGATATAGTGCACACACTAATAAACTACGTTAATACAGAGATGTTTGAAGGGAGGGAGAGAAGAGAAGAGAGGAATAGGAATTTGTGATTTGCGATTTGCGTTTTGCGAGGAGCATTGGGTAGGTATTTGAGTATATGAGTACAATCTTTATTTACGATCATTTAGGTAGGTAATTGATGAGGACCTAATATCTAAGTAGACAGGATGTTCTGTTATTCTTTGCTCTTCACGTCCTTACACTCATATCATTTATGGTATATCAAATTTACCAGACCCTTGACCTCTTGCCAGCCAACACTTTTGTTACCTAGGTATTAATAGAGGGGCAATCGGTATGATACACGAACCCAGTAACACGGCCATTCATACCTATCAAATGTTCTTTCGTACTACCCAGAGTGCCTAGGTACTCTTCATGATTCAAGGATCAGTGGTGCGCGCGTCCATCTCGAAAGAAGGCCAATACGTAGGATGAGATGGAATGATGAGGCTGTGTTCTGACCACTTATGGTCACCCAGTACTGACTGGATAGATCGGTACTATGAGTTACTTCTTAGGCATGGAAAGGAAGGAGTAACATTGGTGTCTTCATCAATCAGTCTTTCATCAGCAAGGGGTTCCAAGGAGGGGTACCTAGATTAGAAAATAGAGGAGACGCATTATCGTTCCGAGAATCAAGTCATAATTACCCGGCAACCTACTACCTAGGTACGTAGGTAGGTCGTAGTACCCTTACCTTATCCTCACATCGTCAGTGAATGAATGGTAGGTATTATAATAAAACTTTGTGAAAGGACTGAGACATGAATACCTAGGTAGGTACGGTAGCTGGATTGTAATGTATCGTACTGGTAATGTCATGTACATAATAATGTATATATTCAAGACCAGTATCAAGGGTTCTCCATGAGTACGGTCACCTTGTACCTGTTGGTATTCATTGAATTAAAACCGTCGCTGACAAGGCCTTTCATTCATTAGCCATACCATAGCCCATTATCGTAGAGTAGAGACCACTAAGATGGATCCGAGATTTTAGCGCGAGAGTCACTTTATTAAATGCTTGGTGATCTCCAAAAAAAAAATTGGGAGGGAATTCTAAAATGCTAAAATTCTAAAATTCCAAAATCTAAAAATCCCAAACCCCCACCACGACAACACAACTTTATCCAACGTCAACTTTCTAAATAAAGAATTCTTTCTTTCCCTTCCGACAAATCGTTACGCTTTCGATTTTCTTATCATTTCGTACAATAATTCTCTTCCATCCTCGACTTTGTAGGAATTAAGGCGCATTGAATGCGCCTCGCGCCCAAGTTTACAACTTCTTCCTTAATATTCGACGTTCCGATCCCTCGTCCCCTTTGAAACCCTTCGAGTCTTCCCACCCACATTCCACCATCATGTCTGTCCTTCCAGCAGATGCGCATGCAGAGCTTGCACAGTTGCTGTCTGCTCTACAGTCTACCGACAATAATGTCCGTACGCAGGCTGAAGAGCACTTGAACAACAACTGGGTAGCCACCAAGCCTGAAATGTTATTGATGGGCTTGGTTGAACAAATATATGGTTCCAACGACTCAACTGTAAGATTCATCTCTTGTCTCAACATCCCACTTGAACATTCATGTCCCTAATTTCAATCATCTTCTAGACTCGATCCTTTGCAGCAGTTATCTTCCGTCGTATCGCATCCAAGTCTCGCAAGACTGATGAGAACAACTCGATCGAATTATTTCTCGCCATTCCAAAACAAGAAGCATATATTATCCGACAAAAGCTCATAGAGGCATTAGGCCTGGAGAAGTCGAATCCAGTCAGAAATAAGATTGGAGATGCGGTCGCTGAAATAGCTAGAGAATATTCTGATAATGGTATGATACTTGGGCCCAGGAAATGTTCAAGGAGGTCAATCTAACATTTCATAGGTGAACAGTGGCCAGAAATCTTGGGTGTTCTCTCTACCCTGAGTTCTTCACAAATAGCTGGACAGAGAGAAATAGCGTTCAGAATATTCTCTACGACTCCTGGCATAATCGAAAAGCAACATGAAGATACAGTATTAACAGCTTTCAAGAATGGTTTCCAGGATACCGAAACTGCAGTGAGTTCCCTTGACTGTTAAGATACACGGCAATCACTAATCACACAACAAGGTCCGCTTGGCAGCTATGGAAGCATTTACATCATTTTTCTCCAGTCTCGGCAAGAAGTCACAGTTAAAATATTATGGCCTTATTCCAGAAGTCCTTTCGATCCTACCACCCTTGAAGGAAAGTCTGGACTCGGATAGTCTCAGCACAGCACTTATCTCACTCATGACCCTCGCAGAGGTTGCTCCCAAGATGTTTAAACCTTTATTTCACAACCTAGTCACATTCTGTATTCAAACAATCCAGGAGAAGGAATTGAGCGACGTGGTTCGCCAAAATGCCCTCGAGCTCATGGCAACATTTGCCGATTATGCTCCAGCTATGGTCAAGAAAGATTCGAGCTTTGTGACGGATATGATTACTCAATGTCTGAGTCTCATGACTGACATTGGCGAGGATGACGACGATGCAGCCGAATGGAATGCTTCAGATGATGTACGAATATCCCCACTCAATTTATCAAACCACTAACTGACTTAAACAGATGGATCCAGAGGAGAGCGACCTGAATCACGTTGCTGGTGAGCAATGTATGGATCGATTGGCAAACAAGCTCGGAGGATCAATTATTTTGGCACCTACCTTCAACTGGCTTCCCAGAATGATGCTTTCCGAAGCATGGAGAGATAGGCATGCTGCATTGATGGCCATCTCAGCGATTTCAGAAGGCTGCAGGGATTTGATGGTTGGAGAGCTGAAAACAGTTCTAGAGCTTGTTGTCCCTGCTTTGAGTGATCAGCATCCGCGTGTGCGTTGGGCCGGTTGCAATGCTCTTGGACAGATGAGTACCGATTTTGCAGGAACTATGCAGGAGCAATATCACGAAATTGTAGTAGGCAGCATTATCCCGGTCCTCAAGAGCCCAGAGCCACGTGTCCAAGCTCATGCAGCAGCAGCTCTCGTCAATTTCTGTGAAGAGGCTGAAAAGGGGACCCTTGAGCCATACCTCGATGACTTGTTGAGTAACTTGTTCCAACTCCTTCAAAGCCCAAAGAGATATGTTCAAGAACAAGCTCTCTCTACCATCGCAACTATTGCAGACTCCGCAGAAAAAGCCTTTGCCAAATACTACGATACCTTGATGCCTATTCTCTTCAACGTTTTGAAGGCAGAATCAACAAAGGAGCTCCGTCTGCTACGCGCAAAAGCAATGGAATGCGCTACACTAATTGCTTTGGCAGTCGGAAAAGAGCGATTAGGCAACGACGCAATCGACTTGGTCAAATTGTTGGCCAATGTTCAGCAAGGCATTGTGGATCCGGATGATCCACAAGCTCAATACCTCATGCACTGCTGGGGACGTATGTGTAGGGTTATGGGAACCGACTTCCTCGCATATCTTGAATATGTCATGCCTCCTCTCTTGGAGTTGGCAAGTGCTAAAGCAGATATTCAACTTCTTGATGATGAGGATGAAGTTGAGGCCGTACAGGCACAAGAGGGCTGGGAGCTTGTTCCACTCAAGGGCAAAGTCATCGGCATCAAAACTAGCACTCTTGATGACAAGCACATGGCCATCGAGCTCTTGGTGGTCTACGCTCAAGTCTTGGAGGCCCATTTTGCTCCCTACGTGCAGGGTGTTATGGTGAACATTGCCTTGCCAGGTCTGGCATTCTTCTTCCATGATCCTGTTCGAGTGGTCTCGGCGAAGTGTGTGCCGCAATTACTCAATTCCTACAAGAAAGCATACGGTCCTGAGTCTTCTCAGCTACGAGACCTTTGGGGAGCAACAATCCCCAAGGTTCTCGAGGTTCTGAGTGCCGAACCAGCTATTGATACACTTGCTGAGATGTATCAATGCTTTTACGAGTCGGTGGAAGTTATGGGCAAGAATTGTCTTCCTAGGCAACAAATGGATCTATTTATGGATTCTGCTATTTCTGCCCTAGAAGACTACAAAGAACGCGTTAAGGCTAGGGCAGAAGAACGAGCTGATGCCAATCTAGAAGAAGGTGATGAAGACTCCGATGAAACAACTTACGCTATTGAAGACGATCAAACTCTGCTTTCCGACATGAACAAGGCATTCCACTGTATCTTCAAGAACCATGGTCCCGCTTTCTTAGAATCGTGGCAGAAACTCCTCACAACATATTCCGCTTTTCTTTCAAGCGAGGATCCCACACAAAGACAATGGGGATTGTGTATCATTGATGATGTCCTCGAGTTCTGCGGTGCAGAGAGCGCTAGATATATGGAACCCCTTATCAAGGGTCCCTTGATTGTTGGATGCCAAGACCCTGCTCCCGCCAATCGTCAAGCCGCTACATATGGTATTGGTGTCGCAGCCCACAGAGGAGGTGCACCCTGGACCGAGTTTGTAGGCAACACAATCCAGCTCTTGTTTGATGCTACGCAAATCCCCGACGCTAGAGGCGATGAACATGTTTACGCGACAGAAAATGCATGTGCTGCCATTGCCAAGATATTACATTACAATGCATCTGGTGTTGCGAATCAACAAGCAGTCGTCACAGCATGGATCGATACTTTACCTATTGTCAACGATGAAGAGGCTGCTCCATATGCATACCTTTTCCTTGTTCAGCTCATTGAACAGTAAGTTTATATATCCAAAATTTGATTTATACATGACTAACACATCTAGACAAAATCCTGCCGTTACTTCTCAACCAGCCAAGGTCTTTGTTTTCGTTGCTCAAGCTCTTGCAGGTCAAACACTACAAGGCCAGACTGCAAACAGAGTTGTGGAAGCTACCAAAGCCCTCCTTGCTGCCGCAAGTTTAAATCCCGCTCAACTTTTGGCGCAACTTTCCTCCGAGACACAAGTAAAGGTTCATCCATGGTTTGCTTGATCTTTCACTTTGCCTTGGGATTGATATTCGACCTTCATGGGTGGTGGAGAGTATGAGATGAAGTTTTGATGATAGAATGATACCATATGAGCACGTATATTTTCCGGGTTACCATTGGGATGGTTAGGCTAAGGTGGTGGTTGGAATTTGGCTAGTCATCAATATTACTCGACGAGTTCAATCGGTATGTGGAATGACATGGCGATCAACCGGGAGCCACTGCAAGCTACATTTTTTTCATTCCATTTCTGAGGAGGAAGGTAACAAGGGTTTGATCAGACCATCTCATGTTTTAAATAGCTTAGGAAAGCCTCGGATGCACATGGACCAAAAATCGGGAAGTGGGAAAGAAATATGAGAGAACAGAGGGTCTCTAATATGATGAGCCTTTGACTCAACAAGAATAGGGTCAATTCAAAGTTACAGATAGGCGAATGAAAAAAAAAAAAATATACTTATAAAATCCTTGAGAAAATTCGTGATACTTTTTTAATTAAGGGCCATAATGGTAACCCAGAAAGGGTTGGGGTCCCTACATGATAGTGGCTTGCATATGGTGACGCAATGCCGTGGTGCCCGACACTGGGCTTTCGGCATCTTTGAACTGGGATTATGTGGTGCCGAGCATTTTGGAGGGGAACGAGGGGGAGGGAATTCGATGGTTTCTTGCATTGGTTTGGTGGGGGGAGAGACTAGGGAAAAGGAGGGGATGCGTGGTGGGTGGTGAGTGGGTGAGTGGGTAGATCGGTGTGTGAGGGATGGAATGTAAAAGAGAGGGATGGAGAGATCAAGGTGGGTGGGTTTGGCTATGTACTCTGTAGATGGATTTCTAAGTGACGGGTAGGTAGAGTGGTAGAGGGGTGATAGATAGAGAAGGGATTTTTGTCGAAGAAAAGAGAGAAAGGAGGGGAGGGGGGGGAGGATTTGTTTTTTGATGTTGGCTAGGTATATACGTATCAATCAGCAATTAGGTCTAAGGACCAGGCACGATGATAACAATAATAATAATAATTCAACCACCTATCGAATCCAGATGATTGATGATTGATGATTGATGATTGTCGTGATAAAATGATGTTTCGATTTCGATTTCATTTTTGTTTTATAATCTCTCATATATAGTGATTTGTATGTTGATCTCTATTGATTGGGAAGGAGAATTGACGATTACTTGAGAAGTTGGGTTGAGGAGTTGTCTTGATGATTAATGTTGACTCGGGGTTTTCTTCTCATAGAGATGGGATAGCACGGATGAGTAGATCAATAATCTACCTAGATTCTTGGATACCTAAGGCATTAATAAGAATATTGAAAGCTAAATTCACTCATGTGTATGGAAGGACCTAACCTCCTCCTAACCATGGGAGTGTCCGCAGACGGGACGGGAGATATTCTCTTTGGGAATTTAGTGCATCATCTGCTTAGATCTCGAGATTAGAAATAGGAAGGGTGAAGAGATTGGTAGAATTGTGAGGTTGTATAAATAGGTAAGTCTATTATATTATTTAAGGATCTTTGTCATTTGAGAATATAAGAAATAAAGATACACATAGTTATGCATATATTGATACTCGAGTCAAGTCAATGTATACAACATATACAATAACTATATAATTTATATGCATGATTACCAAAAACTTCCCTTACAGTTAAAGCATTATGTAATCAATCTTCAAATCACAACTACCTATCCTATCTCCCTAGTAAATTTGCCTTTCGGTTCTTGCATCACCACAACAAAAGTTGATTCACTGATCGTCCTGGTCTAACTATATAGTACTTACTAACACTACTACTAACCAAGCTTTGTTTCCCCTTTACAAACAACGTCAATTGATATCGAAAATATATTTATTTTATTGATTTGTATGATATTCACTTACCTCGGATCGAATCCCCACCAGCATCGTGGAAGACTGCCATTTATCCATCCATATTGCAATATCGATACAAATCCCACGCATTTCAACCATCGGTACTTTCGAAACCGATATCCACTTCCGACGTAAAGCCCCCCGCAGATTTTCGGAACGAAAGACAATCAAATTGTACAAAGTACACAAGCTCTACAAAACATACAAGTATCTTCCGACCGAGAGTGCGTCTTCTGAAATATTCTGAGAAGAACTGGTGGATCCTGCGACTCGATACTCTGCGACCCAGGAAGAATTATGGCATACGACAAAGCGCATACTTGATTGAGAAAAACCCTGATAGGACTACGACCACTATAAATATACACAAACGTCGAGTCTCATCTTGAGATCCTTTGAGTGGTGGAGAATTCGTGAACTAGATCAAGTGTAGAGAAGATTTCACGGGAGGCCGAAAGAATATTCAACCTTCACGCAAAGTTTCAATTCTTCTCAACACTCGGGTGTCATTACCGTACACTCGACTTCGATACAGCCACCAGCAATTCCGACGCAGATGTCGACGTTATCATGAGTAATTTCTTCAATATGCCAGTGACCCAAGAGGACCTGCAGCGGCAGGTTGCTCAAAGGAGGGCACATTCTAGGTCTCTGAGTATACCGCACCCTCAACCGCAACCGCAACAACAGCGGCCTTCCGCTCAATCTAACGGAAGTTCCATGAGCATGAACCATAGCATGAGTGGTGGAAATAGTTTGGATGAAATTATCATGCAGAATAATAACGAATTACAACGGCGGCAGAGTTACTCACAAGACTTTTCGCAAGATCACGATCGCAGATCTTCCATGCTAGAATTTGGTAACAGTGATGTCGGTCTGAACGATTTTCAATTTGCCACCCCAACATCTTCTTCTGAGAATTCAATGTTACGTCGACAATCCTTGAGCGAATTGAATATGAATGACCTTTATGGCGGAGGGATGGAGTCTGGAATGGGTATAATGCCACAAATGCAGCAACTTGGTTATTCCGACTCTGTGCGACCAAATTTGATGGATACAACCATGGGATATGGCTCGTTTTCGGGAGATATGATGCCTGGGATGATAAGTTATGCTTCCATAGGTATGGATAGTATGTCTCAAGATTCGCCGATGGGCATGTACTCGAATGATAATTATTCACCTACGGTATACGGGAACGATCCTATGGATTCGATGGACTCGAATATGTTTATGGGGGGTCAAGACCGTGGGAGAATGAGAACGATGACCGATGAAAATAACGAAGAGATATCATCGAGGTCCGTTATCATGGGCCCCACAACATCGGAGTCGCTCTTGAGAGCTCGAGAAGGTATGATAATGAGACCCTTGGAAGATGAGAACAACGAAGCAATGTCTTCGAGATTCGATGTCATGAGCCAATCACCAAGCGCTATGAGCATGCCTCAAACCTTAATCAATTACAACTCTCCGTCTACTTCAAATGCACCTTCGAATCTTTTAACACGAACATCAAGTACGGCTATGGTCCCCACATCTACATCAACACCCACAGCCCTCACCGCTCCCGACACCTCCCCATCGGGACAAGGAATTTCGAATATATACTCCAGCACTGGGTTCGATATGCTTGGAGCATTGATAAGAGTGGCAAAAAGGCCAAATAAAGTTATTAACATAGGCGCCGTCGATTTATCATGTGCATTTGTTGTCTGCGATCTACGAGAGACAGATTGTCCTATAATATATGTATCTGATGTTTTTGAGAACCTTACCGGGTATTCCAGACATGAGGTATTAGGAAGAAATTGTCGATTTCTCCAATCACCAGATGGCAAGATCCAAGCTGGTGAACGTCGGACGGCCACGGAAAATGACAAGGTCTATGAACTCAAGAAAGCTGTCGACAACCGAACGGAAACTCAGCAGGCCATTATCAACTATCGAAGAGGAGGTCAGCCATTCATGAATCTTTTGACGATGATTCCTATCCCTGCAAGTGATGACGACCCTACACTTTCTCTGGTGGTCGGTTTTCAGGTTGATGTTGTCGCGAACCCAACTAGTATCGATGGCATGAGCGGTGGGATTTACACCATGAACTATAAACAAGGCACATTACCACGATATCAATGGCAACCACCTCAGCAAAATATTCGTCTAATTGATGCAGGGCAAACGATAAGTCGAGACGATGTTAGCGCAGCCTTAGCTTCATACGACAATGGTAGCGATCCGGAAACCACCAAGAGAATGTTCGATAAAGTGCTTCTGGAAAATAGTGATGATGTTATTCATGTTCTTTCTCTGAAAGGTTTATTCATGTATCTTTCGCCGTCGTGTTGTCAAGTCTTGGAATATGACGCATCTGAGCTGGTTGGAACTGCCTTATCTTCCATCTGTCATCCTAGTGATATAGTTCCTGTCACTCGAGAATTGAAGGAAACATCACAAGGGAGTGCTGTCAATGTTGTATTCCGCATTCGTCGAAAGAATAGTGGCTACACATGGTTCGAGAGCCACGGTTCTCTTTGTGCAGAGCAAGGCAAAGGTCGAAAATGCATAGTCATGGTTGGCCGGGTGAGACCAGTGTATGCATTGGCTAGAAGCGACTTGATGCGAATGGATGGTCTTAGCGATCAACAGATGTATTCGAAATTGTCGACGTCGGGCATGTTTCTATTTGTTGCAGCAAATGTTCGATCCCTCCTAGATCGTACACCAGACGATCTTGTTGGTACAAGCATTCAAGCATTGATGCGTGCTGATTCCAAGGTCGCATTTGGTCGAGCCTTAGAAAAGGCAAGAACGGGAAAGATTGTCAAATACTCACATGAACTTTTCAATAAGCGTGGTCTTGTCATACAAACCGAGACAGTACTCTATCCGGGAGATGCATCGGAGGGCCATAAACCTACCTTTCTTGTTGCCCAGACTCGATTGGTTAATAAAGCATCTCGAAATGTTGCTTCGGCCACTGGAGCTAACGGTACTACCATTCCTGGCGGTAAAACAATGATCATGAGTCCCTTGACTAGATCAGATTCACAAACTTCCGATCGAATATCATCAAACAATCAATTACCTCGTCCTCAGGCTAGCCCCTATCCTGAACCT